AAAAAAAAAAAACTGAGACAAATGTAGGAGCTATGTTCTCTGTCTTGCAACATATATGTCAAAATGATTATTTACTTGTTGCATAGAATCTACTTTGTCCAACAAAATGGAATTTCTAAGCATGGCTAAGAGCAATAAATGTTAATGTTTACTAAAATGAACGTTAAATCTGCTTTGGTAAACTGTTGAGTAACTTTTTCTTTATTGTATGTGTCCCAGCCACCTTTCTGGGCACTTGCATTTCCCTTGATGCAAAAAAAAATCTCCACATTTCTCCCTTAAATCCTCATTTTCTTTCATTTTCTCACACACACAAACACATAAACTCTCCCATTGCTTTTTCCTTTTTCAGTCTTGTCTGACCTAATTCTTTTTTTCCACAAGAATCATTCAGATTCATTCACTTGAATGTACATTCATGAACGAAGAGTGCACACAATGTTTACTTCTCAGACTTGCTCAGGGCCTTCCCAAACACAAAATAGAAAGGATATATAGGATATATGATTCATGTAGACATGATTGTAAGTACATCTGTAAATCTGTGTTCCTCGTGTGTCTGTAGTAATGCAGCGATCAGGGACCTCTCCCTCTGTAACATGAGGATTATTGCAGCAAACAATGCAACAACATGATCTGATGCCCTGAAAGAGACCAAAGGGGATTATAAGGTCTTTCAGATCGAAAGACTTTGCCAACTGGATAAGAGAAAAAAAAAAACATGGATGCGAGTCCATGTATCTGACATACACATGTGCGTTCTAATTATAATAGACATTTTTGAGACAGTTTTTTTGTGTCTTTGGAAAACAACTTTAAAGTCAAATTAAAGTTTCGAACAGAGATCAGTGATTTCAAAGGCATTTCTTACCAGTCTCAGTGAACAGGAGCAAAGAAGCTGTAACTGATGTACTTCTACATCGATTCCACTCAGTGAGATGCATTTACATGTATGTGTTACCAATCCAGATGTCGTGACCCTTCCAGAGTCCACAGGATAAATCTGAGTGGCCATGCGATGTAGGAAAGGAGATCAAATCTTTGTTTTGCAATAGAAATTGCAAAGGGGCTGCATTACATAGAAGTTGGATCAACATTGCAAACGGTTACAAGTCAGAAAGTTTTGAAAAACTCACCTAAGAGATTGAAACAAACTAGGCCCAAGATCAGCAACGAGAAAAATCTGCAACAATAATTTACTGTAACTTTGTTTCAGGATTTTCCTTTAACTCTTGTTTAATTTTTTTTATGTAAAATATTTGGTAGTGCTACTACTTCAGACCTCCTAACAAGGATGTTCTCAGCCTTAACAAGCTGAGGAGTGCACCTAGTCACAATTACTGTTTAATATTTTCTTCTTTAAGTTCATGAGATAAAAAGTAACAGCACATTAACATTTGGAAATGGGTTCGCTTGTCATGTCTGTTTGGAGGAAAGGTTGGATTTTCTTCTCTTTACTTTAAAAAAAATCAACAAAATATGTCATCTGCCCAGAGCTGGCGAAACTTACTTAATATGAATATTATTGAAAGTAAAATTTGCTCACTCTTCACTTAAAACTCCCCGTATGCTGAGACCTCAGGGCAGAAGTCACCCTTGTTAGATGAATTCTCCAACCTGAAGTACACGAATCGATTAACACTTCCCTCTGAAACACTCTCTCTTCCTCACTCGCTCTGATTTGCCTGCAGCCTCGAGGGCTCATTTAAGTCTCTCACATTCAGGGTGGGCAGGTGTGGCCCATAAAAAGCTTCCCTCTGCGAACTACCCTGGGAGGAATGTTAATGCAATGAGCTCCTTTTGGGAGACACGAGAATAAAATAAGGACAGACATTTGTCAGTCAATATTAAACAATGAAATCACTTTACCATGAACTGACTTCCATTCAGATCTGTGAAGACTTTTCTCACTCAGCAGTCTACATCTGCACATTTAAAAAATTTATTTGACCTTTGTTTAATTAATCCTCTTTGGTACGGTGACTATTCTTATACGCATTGCACGCCTGCAGCTGATGGGTGTCCTATGTAGGTTAAAAGCCCATTACACCACGAATACCATAAGGATGCACATATTTCCCCTCTGGAAACAATTACACAGTAGACTATGTTTTCCAAGTCGTGCATTACACAGACACAAACATGTTATCGCTGGTGGCCACTACAGATAGAAAGTGTTCACTCCATACATTTTCAGTGAAACTGGACGTCGAGACTATTAATGGCTGCTGTAAATTTAAGAATTTTAAAATTTTTTGAAATACATTTATTTGCTTTCTAGCCAAGAGTTAGGTGGAAAAACTAACACTCATACTCATGTCTGGAGCTCTGGCCAAAGATAACCAGCCTAAATCCACCTGCCAACACCTGTAAAGCTTCAATATATCTTGCAAGTTACTTTTCCAAGTGAAGAAATATATTTCTATATCGCTCAGCCGGTTGCCTGGCAACTGCACCCAAAACATTTATCATCTTCTAACCCTCAAAAAGGTAAAAAATAATGTTCTTAAACTTCATCCTTTCCCACAGATTTAGGAAACGTGACACAATGTGTTAAATCAGGAGCCATTTCTCCCTCTTTGCAGTCATTATGTGAGCTACATTGCAGTAGTTTCATTACCACATAGACATGAGAATGCTTTAATTATGCTTCACCAATGACACGCAAAGCTGCAGAGGCTCACAGAGAAGCCAGTGCACACACAACAGATTTCAATAAGGCATTAGTAGGAACTGTGTGTCACGGTTCTTGATTGGTTCATTAACTCTTTTCAGGAGGAAGGTTTGAAACATAGATGAAAACGAATGTAAATGGACGCCACAGGCTTAAGGAAACTGCAATTTAAATGTTTCTGAGCGAGGCCCATGTATAATGTAGAGTTTAGTTCCACGACTCTCAGCATGACAGCAAAAAAGTGTATCTGCCAAAATCTCAAGCTATTGCTTTAAAAGGTCCCATACGGTACAAATCTATTTTTGTTTTGTGGTTGTTATGAGCCTAGATATCTAAAGTAAAAGCTGTTAAGAAATGAAGACGTTTACTTCTGCCGTTAATCTAATCACATACAACTAGACAGGCTCTGTAGGTTTTTATGTTGCCATTTGTGGCCACCTAAATTCTGTCAGTGTTTACATCCGTTCGCTTCTCTCCTGCTCTCCGTGCTGACATTTACTACATTTTAACACAGCCACATTCCTAATAAAACTGTTCTCATTTACGTGTTTTTTGTTTGTTTTTTTTTTGTCAGGCAGCAGAGCGAATGTGAAATAGTGACTGAAACCCAGAATATTTTAAAGTTATTTTTTTTGGCCTTTGTGCCTTTATTTGATAGTGAAGTGAGAGAGAAACAGGAAAGTGGGGGAGAAGAATGGGGGGAGGACATGTGTGAGTTCGAGTCACAGCTTCGAACTCATGACCTCCACATCGGGACTGCAGCCCTGCACATGGGACGCCAGCTCAACCAGGTGAGCTATAGCGGTGCCCCTGAAACCCAGAATATTAAGGCTACATGTCAACCAGCAGCCATTTCAGAGCCAATTTTAAGCTGCTACTCTGGATCGCTAACATGCTGACTGTATAACCGCAACACTGTCTGACAAGCTAACCATACACACGAGTATCATGAGAAATAATAAGGGAATCAGTGTTGCCCAAAGAAACCTTGTTTGCTTAGTCCGCACAACAAACGAAATATAAAACTACAATTTGTGGTTTTTCAGTGGCTATACAAGTGACTTAGTGTCTCCACTTGTTGCCTAGAAACCTGGTTGTGACAGTAGGACTCAGTAAAGATGCTGCACTATTTTAAATTCTATACTTTTAAAGAGCAGGTGAGTGACTTTGGAGGGCTGGTACTGGTATTCGTAGGCAGATTGTGTTACTTCTTCATGCTCAGCTCAACTCTCTGGCTGCTAGTTTGTGATATTTGCTACATTGAATATGAGCGATATCAATCCTCTTCTCTCGCTCTCAGCAAGAATTTGAAAAAAAGAATAGTTTCCAAAATCTCAAATTATTTCTTTAAATTCTATACTAATGAACAAAAACAGAAGGGAATCATGGGTTTTGTTGGTTCCGTTAAGGCTTGTGGCTCCTTGAGGTTATAACACGGGCTTCCATATTTAACAGGAACAAGGAAGTGTCATTAAACAAAAATTAACAGATGTTATTGAGACAGCGAGCCTCTATTTATATGGTCCCAATTCCTGCATCAGCCTCACTGCATGGAATCACATCTTGTGTTTCTGAGTGTTGTCACCGTAAAAGCTTCTGTGTTCTCGCTGGTCAGGGCATCTTTCGCAGGAACAACCTTTACAAATTATTCATGATTGTTTCTTCCAGGAGGTAGAGAGAGGGGGGGGAAATAGAGTGCACAGTGCATCTACCAAGATGCAAAGCTGACGGGTGCAAATGTGAGTTAGTTATATAATCCCATTTCTAGAGATTCAAAGAAATCCTGACCTCTGACAAATCTCTCTCCAAGGCGAGGAAAGGGAGAGAACAAAGCTTGCCATTTGACCTTGAATGGTCACACTGCAGGGTGCTGGCACCATGTCCTCACGAGTATAGTATTTTGATAAATCGTAGATTTTTTTTTTTTCCAAGTTAAATGGGAAAAAACAATTTCACTTCTTTGCTCAAACTTGAAAAAATAAAAAAGCACTTCAGCAATCCCAAATTATGGTGTTTCAGCATCTAAGACTGCACCTCTCCAGGCTCGATTCAAGGCGCTGACTATCCTACAAGTCTCTGTTTTGATTTCTTTGAAAATTACTTGAATAGACTAAGTAAAGACAGCAGGATATTATCTTTTCAATGTTGACATTTCATTTAACTGAAGCAACTAAAAACCTAGTCAATGTTTCCCATCTAAGCTTGCATTTTAATTTACAGCCTCAAGTCTGAAATTATTTATCGCTCATAGTCACCAGCTCTGCCTACAATTATCCCAAAATATGAAACCACAAGAGAAAATTACATTTCATGATTTTCAGATGTGTGGTAAAATTAGAGATTATAGCCTGTATGTGCTATATATGATCCCAGAAGGAGGGTTTATTGCCTGCTTCTTTTTACAAAGATGTTTGAATGACTAAGACTTACTGAAGTGCAAACTTCATTGTGTTTCAATGCTGCGTTTCCCTTCTCCTGTACAACCAGGGTAGGATCTGCTCTCTGACCCCTCAAGTGTCTATTCTGAACCATGTCACTTATATGGGTATCTGCGTCAGTCTGGCCTTGTTCCTCTCCTCGGTGTCCTTCACCTGCTCCGAGGTTGTCCCTCTGTGATAAAACACAGTCATCGTGGTGTTCCCGCTGTCCTCACTCCCCCTGGTGTTTGTGGCACAGGAGACGTCCAGCCTCAGCTTCAGCGGGCTCTCTCGCTTCGGGTTCACGGCCTCGTTGCTCGCCATCATCGTCTCCACCGCTGCGCTCACCGCCGCCAAGCAGCGTTGTCCGCGGCAGCGCAACAGGCGCAAGAACGCGTCTCGGAAGTCCGCGTTAAACGCGTAGATGACCGGGTTGAGGGACGAGTTGCTCCAGCCGATCCACACGAACACGTCAAAGGTTTTTTCACTGACGCAGTAAGGGCCCCGCTGGCCCCCCGGAGCCCCCGGGCCGGGGCAGAAGGGCAGAGCGCAGTTCAGGATGAAGAAAGGCAGCCAGCAGCAGACGAAGACGCCCATGATGATGCTCAGAGTTTTCAGGACTTTAGTCTCTTTTCTGATGGAGACTTTGAGCTCGCGGTGTGACTGAGTCGAGCGCTGGGAATCCGGATGAAGGCTGATCTGAGACTGATACGAGCTGGCACCGAGTTCCGTGCACAGGTGAGGAAACAGTTCAGGTACGTCCGAACGGCAGCTCTGCGCGTGCTCTGCCGCGCGCTCCAACGAGGATATCATCCGGATCTGCATCTGGGCTATCCGGTAGATGCGGGTGTACGTGACAATCATGATCGCTACGGGGATGTAGAAGCTGATGAGGGAGGAGGAGATGGCGTAGGTGCGGCTCAGGCTGGAGTCACAGCTCCCATCGATACGCCCAGCGTGGTGCGCCACAACCTCCGCGGCCGGGTCACCGATCTCTGCCCGGTGCCAGTTCAGCTGCACGGGGACGAAGGAGATGACCAGGGACACTGTCCACGTCACGCCGATCATAACGGAGGCCACCTTCTTGTTCATACTTCTCTCGTAGCGGAACGGGCTGGAGATGGCCCAGTACCGGTCCACGCTGATGACGCACAGGTTGAGGATGGAGGCCGTCGAGCACATGATGTCGCAGGCCAACCAGGTCTTACAGAAGCCTCCAAATGGCCAGAAACCGGCCACCTCGGCCACAGCTTTCCATGGCATCACCAGCACGGCGACAAGAAGGTCCGATAGAGCCAGAGACACGATGAAGATGTTGGTCACTTTTGCGCGCAGGTGCCGGTAGCGATAAACAGCTGCGCACACTGTGAAGTTACCTAAAAGCGTCCAAATGATGAGCAGCGCCAAGACGCAGCCGGTTAAGACTCGGTGCGCTGGTAACTCGTCCCGGCTGCCGGCTCCCACCGGTGCCAAGCCGGTTGTGTTATTCATTGCCTCGGCCACATGACAAATGGAAAGGACATGAATCTAACCCATCCGTGTTGATAACACAAACACGAGGCGAAACAGTCGCTCACGGTGCAGATCGTGCGTCCTGCTCCGGTCGGGCTGATCTGAGCTGCTGCTCTGAGCGCAGAGCAGACTTTCAGGGGACCACATGCACCACCAGCTGGTACTCAGTGCTGACACACAGCTCCGAGACGCGTAGAGAAGTTTGCCACTTGAGAAAAGCAGAAATCATGTCGAGCCATTTTTAATTACCTCTGTAATTCCACTTTATTCCGCATTACTATTTTATATTTTATCTCTTGTCCCGATGTTTTTGTCCCATTTCTCCGAAATCTCACTGAACACTGATTAGTGGTTCTGTTGAAGCCCAGCTTAAGACTGACTTACTTAAACTGCTGTAAACATGGCAGCAGTAAAAGCAAGTGAGTGCTTTAATTTTATACCAAAGACATACAGTTATTCCCTTTCATTTTTAATTAAACAGAATATTGCACATGAAAGTACCAAAAATGAAACAGCATAAAATCCCAGCAATAAAAAAATAAGATAAAGAAGGGTGAAAAATTACAAATAAAACAGACGATGTATATTAGAACTGTGGGGAAAACTGGGGTAATTTAATAAAGCTGAAAGGTAAAACTGACCAGTGGAATTAGATAAAACAGCAGAGAGAAAACTCATTTATCAATATGTTTATCTAAAATTAATTTAATATACATGTCACATCGTGTGTAGTTAGAACCAAATGAAAATAAAAGTGTAAGTTTGTTCACAAACCATTAGAACTTTATGAAATCAGTCTTTCAATCATAATCTCTCATCCACTACGTTGGACTTCTTGTGAGCAACTCATGAGACTTTTCTTTTAATCTTTTATCGGAGGCTATTTGGTTTGATTCATTTTACTTCAACTTATTTTTTAATACAATTATTAATACGGGTCTAGATTTTGCATCTATGATTATCTGTTTGCTGCCTTATTAATTAGACTACATTGTAACGAAAAGAGAAAAGTATTTTGTATTTCTCAAAACTGCTTCTGTAAGTGACATTCCCTCCCCCTTTTTAACCTCCAGGAAAGTCCTTTGAATTGCAGTTTCTTCTATTGATTGTATTAATGTTCTCAGACAAGAAACCACTAGCCATGACATGCACATCATAACATAAACCTAGCATATACATGTGGACATTCAGTACAAATACAGTACACCAAACACATCTATAAACACACATTCTGTATATCCACTGCTACAGCTCTTTTGGCTACTTATTCAACAGAGAGAAACGTTTGCTTTTAAGTTAGTCTCTAATTGTCTCAAATTATTTTCCTGGTGAAAAAGTGAACAAATGAATGTGATGAGATAGAATTTGAGTGTCAGATAGAATTTATTTGTCTTGTTTTAGTTTTTTCCTCATGCAATTAAATTTGCACATGTGTCACATGTCTTTAATATTCAATGTAACTGTGTGCCAAGTGTGAGTTACATTACTACATTATGGCGTGTTGGATGCTTTCTCTCCCCCCCTCAGTAAGTTATGGTCTCCTCAGTGTCATCACCTTCCTGCTCAGTGGCTCCCAGCAGACATGTTTCCACCGAGGCCCTCATCCCACTGTCAGGGTCACAGTCACTGGCAGGACGTCTGTCCTGGAAATACTCGCAGTCACCCCGACTCACACGGCCTGGAATGAGAACAGCAATGTTACAACAGGGGAGAAATCATGGAAACTGGAAGTAGAGCATTGATTGTTGAGGACAATGATGTTGTCAGCAACACTATGTGGATCATGTGGAGGTGCTGTGAGTCATGTTTGCTCAGCCTGCTTCTTCAATGTGCTGCTAATATTTAAGAAAGCAGAACAGTCCACCTTCACTTTTTATCACCTTGGTGCTGAAACTGAAGGAGCAGCCCGATGTTTCCTTTCACTAGGTTGGCATCCCAGCAGGCAACAAACTCCACATCTCCACAGACACAGTGCAGGATGCAGCCGGCCACGCACAGATGATCCCCGGTTTCAGTATCGTTACAGGGGATCAAATGATCACAGAGAGCTGAAGAGATGCCTAAGAGTTCATAAATCTTTAAATCTGGTTTTGTACTCAATCAAAAGTCAATGCAGCAAGCTGTGTGAGAGAAAAAGAAACTGGGTGCAACAAATGTCTTTAGCTGCATCTCAACCTCTGCACAAGAATATGAGTAGCATAAAATGTGTTTTACTGTGTCATATGAAACGTAAGTGGATAATTTGTCTCTCGACGAGTTACCCATCTGTCCACTACTGTTTGTCAGCTGTCAAATGAAGGCAATTATGCTGAAGAATTATATTTTTTAGAATCCTTTTTAAATGGAAAGGTAAGTTCTGATATTGTCACAGTCTTGTTAGCCCTCTTAAAAGTGGAATTAACCTCCATGTTTGGGGTTCAGGTTGGTTTTGGTCAAATGTGATTCAAATCATGAGACATCATATTCATATTTACTTGATACTTGTTGTTCATTTCTCCTTGTAACTCTGAATCGCTTCTTTCTTCACAGATAAGAATCACTTTATGTCTTTGCAGAATGCCAGATCACAGATCACATGGGGACTGATGACGCTGGGGAAAATCTAATATGTAAATCCAAGACTCTGCACAATGAGACAGCTGTTATCAAAGCTGTTTGGGCACTTTAGAGTTTTGATTCATAAATACTTTGCCTTACATGCATTTTTGTGTCATATTTCTGATAGTTAATATTAACTTTAACCATGTTCATCCCTGACAGAGTAGAATGGAGGGATGTAATAAGAAATTAATCAAAGTTTATTTGGTTCGATTAAAAATGTTCAGGGAACTCTTGACCCAAATAAACTGGTGCTGTGTCGAACTTGGAGTTATTTTTGATCAGAATGTGCCCATTAGCTCTTTAAATGAAAGCAAATCTCTACAATATCCTTCATTCACCTGCGCAATACAGTTAAAATAAGGAAAATCATGTCTTAGACTAATGCTAAAAAAAAAAATACCAAAAAAAACTAGTCAATGCGTCTGTAACTTTCTATTGTACTTGTAACTGCACACCATACAGGTGTCTTTGGATCATTTATTTCCTCCTCTTATCAGCAGAAAACCATGAAAACAACTACAATAAAAACAATCCAGCAAATGTTTCAAATACAAATTGTTCAGTTGTTGTTGTTTTTTTTTTTTTTTGTTTTGTTTTTGTACGTTTTTTGATACAGTCTCTGTAATTAGACGGACTCAAACAACGAGTCACTTAAGACAGCATCAGTTGATAGACGGGTCCAAATATGTTAGCACATAACAGCAAAGGCACCGAAGGGTCCACGTAAAGGCAATTCGATAAATAATATATACACATATGAAACAAATAAATGTTTAAAAGCTCAACCTTACCGTGCACCCCTCTCGAACAGGGCAGAATATGTTTTTTTTTTGGGACCGTTTGGTTTTCCTCTGTAGCCGTACTGCGTCTGACCCACAATCCAATAGGTGACCCTCCAAACTAACCTGTGGTCGTGTGACCTTAACAGTCCTCATAAAAATAACACATTTTTAACCAATGCTGAATTTTAGGGTGGTATATTTTAGTCTTTTTGTTTTTTAAAGTTACCTTGTAAGAATCTTATTTATTGCACTTTTAATCATTTTTAATTCATGTTTAAATTCAAATTAGGACATAAGATATGAAGAGTTCGTTTTCAAAAACAATACCTACATTTTTATAGTTTTTAAGAAAACTTTTTTGTTTGCATGAGATAACATTAATCAAACTGAAGTTGAGTGGATTTGACTCAGTTGAAATGACATGACAAACACAGAGATAACTTAAGTTTGTTTGATAATGTCTCAGATAGATGATGGAAAAGTGGGTTTTCTGAAGGTTTGTGAGGATGGAATTATCCGTTTTTGCAAATGAACTCTTCATATGTAAACAAACTTGTAGTCGAAATCTAAACATCTAACATCTAAACATCTAAAAATTAAAAACTGTCTTTTAATAAGTCAGTTAACCATGTTCCTCCCTGACAGATTTACCAGAATGGAGTGATGTGATGAGAATTAAACCAAAATCTGTTTGGTTTCAGTTAAAATGTTTAGAGATCCTTTAACTTTACTTTAACTTGACCCTAATAAACAGCTGCTGTGTGGACCTTGGAGTTGTTTATTATTAGTATTTGTTGAGTATCTCATTGAGATAAAGCAAGTCTGTAGAACAGCCTTCTTTCATCGTTAAAATTAGGAACATCCACTCTCAGACTGAAGCTGAAAAAACTAGTTCATGCATGTAATGTTTTAGGTTGGACTGTTGGAGTTCCTTATCATCAGGATGTTAACTCCTTACAAGACCTCCAGCTGATCCAAAACTTTCAGGCAACTTTTTTACCTTTTTTATGTCAAACCTTCATTTGAACTTCATCCATCCATCCATAATCTATACTACGCTTAATCCTCACTAAGGTCGCGGGGGGGGCTGGAGCCTATCCCCCCTGACTTAGGGCGAAGGCAACTTCATTCATACTTAAAATATGATGGATTTCATATGCTTTATATGTCTGACTGGTGTTTACAGAACTTTTAAGTCCAGTACCATGTTGCCTAAATTCCAGCTTAATGTGTTTGGATTAATATTATTAAAGTTTCAAATAGACTACACATGAGCTCAATCACAACATTTGACTCGACTTCATGACAACCACTGAGCACAACAAAAATGGATTTTTATCATATTGGAATTTTAATCAGTGTGACCTAGCTGCCTTTTCTCCTCTGAAAATGTGCTGTCCTTGAGCAAAGAAGCATTTTTTCAGCTGCATTTTGCTGGAAGATGCACAGAGAACACTGTTTCTACTTTGTTTGAAGACATAGTTTGACATCGAGATGCTTTGACTGACCAGTGGGAAACAGTCTGCCTGAATCTGTCCTAAGGTAACACAGTTATTCTATCAGCCGCACTAAGAATCACAAGTTAACGTATCTTGTTTGTTTGATCCCCAGTGCAGTTTTACAGGAAGAGTTGGTGCCAGACTAATAGCATCAACTTCCTGGACCCGTGTCATTTCCCTGAGGTCACCAGGTGACCAGTGCAGACTTCACAAATCGAGAAGGATTTTTCACATATGGACAGAGCCAGAGTCACTGTTGCTTCCCTTTTTCTGTCTTTATACTAAGTAACCAGCTGCTGACTGTAGCTTCATGTTTACTCCAGAAGGTACTAATTCTCTCAAATAAGTAAGTAAACTAAGAAAGTCCCAAAATATCAAGATATTCCTTTATTTATATTGTTGTTGTTTTTGTTGTTTTACCTCAGGCACTTTATTATAATAATCATGCAGTGCTCCACCTCTACCTGCTCCTTATAGCTTGTTCAGACAGCAAAGTGTCATGACAATGCACTCAAAATATAATATCCTCTCTTCCCACAGCACACACACACATACACACACACACACAAATAAACATACACAGGGTTTTGACATTCATTTCCGAATTACAAACTACCTTTAAATCTAGTGTTCGCCATAATCTCTTAAGACCATGTATGATACAATTTTTTTATTAAATGCAGAAAATAAAAATTTAAAAATATATATAACAAAATAAATATATATATATATTGTTCAAATATTTTTAAAATAATTAAAATCAAACAACAATCATAAAATGATAATAATAATGATTATAATAAAATACTAAAAAAAAAAGAAAAAAAAGTGAAAATTAACTACTGTGGTAATATGACCCAAAATGTGATGTCCATGCATGGAGATGCCAGGTCTTAAGAGATTAATAGTGAAGATTTACATAATGAAGAATTGCATTTTGTCCCTGTATGGGAAGCAGGTCATCACAGTGTGAGTGTGTAAACAGGTTGTCCCCACAAAATGAGTAATGCAAGTGCACTCAGTGACAAACACAATGAATGACACATGCATACTCAAAGAGACTACTATAAAAGCAGACCTTTTGGCTGCGGACGCGACCAGATGGCACAGCGAAAGTCACAGCATTGGCAAAGAAAGTCTAAAATAGCACTCAAACAGTAATGTTTATTAATGGCAATAGGGTTTTATTTGAATACAGATTTAGATGATGGAGACAGAGACAGCAGTACCAAGCAGAGAGCAGGCATCTGATAATCAGATTATCTCCATCGTTTTTGAGACTTTGTGCTATTTTTGTGCATTTGCTGATTTAGGACACACAAAGGAATTACATCCATTTGTTGAAATGAAATTGCTTTCACATGGGAATTACTTTTGTTTCTTTTCCTCACTGTGAGTTAATGGTTGAATCAAATAATAGCAAAAAGTCAAATCATAGGTTTAGGACTACATTCCTGAGAAACAGAAAGTAAATAAGGTCACAGCAAACACATGCATGAAAAATATATAGTTGCCATGAGATAAACATGACACGTCTGTGCTGTTATTGTATACAGCAGATAGCTCCAATACTCTCTAAAGCTACATTCACCCCCAACAGTCCCATCTCTTGCACATATCCAGTCCCAGTTGTCATTGTGTTGTGTTTCTCTGCAGGTTTCTTTGCAATCGTGTCCGAACACTTCTTGTCACACTGCTTTTTCAGCACTGACATTTCCTCGCCGCACTTTTCTCTTCCTCTTCGCAGGTTGTCCTCCAGCTGTCTCTTGAGGCTTTCTTCAGTCACTTTTTGTTTCTCAATCTTCATTTTGATGAGATTTAACTCCTGGAGGGCCACAGTTTGTTGTTTCTCCACTCTTCGATTTTCCATCTCCCTTTCTCTCTGGTTTTCCTCCCTCTCACATTTGAGCATTTCTTCCATTTGCCTTTTCCTCTCCTCCCCCTTTAGGCACTGCTCCACCAGTCTTTGGATGAATTTATCCAACTCTTTCTGCAAGGCATCTCTCTTCATTTCCTCCTTCTGCCTGATGCCCTGCTCTTTCTGTATCTGCTGAAGTTCCTTCTCTCTCGCTCTCTTTTCATTTTCCTTTTGGATCTTCTCCTCCATTGATCTTCTCTTTTCCTCCTCCTGCTCAACCTGCTCCTCCAGCATTTTAGTAGCTTTCTCAAGCATTTTCTGAAGAGCTTCCATCTTCTCCTCCTCCTCCCTGTGAATCTCTGCCAGTGTCATTATTTCTCTTGCCAGTTTCACCACCTTCTCATTCTCAAGCTCTTGGTTTTTCTTCAGCTTCTCCATTTCTCTGTTGCATTTTTGAAGAACCATCTCTACCTCTCTTTCATACCAGTCTTTTATAGCTGCCTCCTGCTTCTTTTTAAACATCTCCTCCTTCTCATTCAGCAGCCTGCTCTCCTCCTGCAGCTGGTGAGCCAGATTCTCCTCTGCTTTCAGGAGCAATTTGCTGGTGTAACAACTTTGTTCATTTGCTTGCATCATGCCATCCACCAAGGCAAGCAGCTCAGACACCTGCCGCTTGCTCTTGGAGCTCTGGTTGTTAAAGACACAATACCGGCCCCCACATCCGGCCACCAGCTCAGCCAGATCCCTGTCTCCATCCATCAGACAATGCTTCACGGATGTTCTTCCTTCGAGACGGTCTCCATGAGTAAAAACCACCGTGGAGAAACTCAAAGCGTGGGAGCCCATTGCCTCTTTGATCTGCCGCACCGCATCCCTCTCCTCCTGGGTGAACCTCCCAATCTGAACCACAATCAGGAAAGCGTGGGGCCCCGGGAAGAGAAGGCTAACACTCCTCCTCAACTCCTTCTGCACCTCCTGTGGAATCTGATGAGTGTCCAGCAACCCCGGTGTGTCCAGGAGCATCAGTTTTCTCCCACGAAATTCTCCATCAGCCCTGCGACATCGCTTGGTGACGGAGGTGCTGCTGACTTGCAAATCAAAGATTTTACGGCCCAAGATGGCGTTGGCAGTTGAGCTTTTTCCGCTTCCCGTCTTCCCCAACAAAACTAGTCTGAGCTCAGTGGTGGAGGAAGACACCTTTCTGCCTGAGGAGACAAAACATGATGATGATTAACTTGAAAGAAAGAAATAAAGAACGAAATAAGAAGAGAAAGATCCAGACTTACGTGCACAGCTGATAGAAGACAGCTGCTTGGTGATGGAGGACATGTTGTTCCTGCTCACTATTCTCCACAAACTGGGAACAAATGAAAACACTGCAGCTCTATATAGATCCCAACACTGCGTCTGTGTCTGAACCTAAAGCCCCCTCTGAACTCTAACCAGCGTCATCATCACCATCTGTCTGGAGAAACTGTAATCCAATAGTCTGTCTCTGTACGCTCATCACGGCAAGTCTCTGAGAATACAATCTCCTGCATGAGGATAAGTTGGAGTCAATGTGATCAAAGTTCAGCAGGCGAGTCATTTCATTGTTGGGTCTCTTTATCTTGAGTAGCAACCATTTAGGGACCACTAGGGATCAATACACTTGTCAATCTCTTGTCACCGTTGATGTCATGCAGACCAGACAAACCAACTCGTGATGAACAACAAGGCTAAAAGTCTGCATTAGAATAGCTAAAAATGTATGCAGTAACCTGTATAGTGTTGATAACTAAAGAATAGAGGAAACTGTTGAATAAATGTCTTCCTTAATGTCACTCTTGTGTAATTCTGCTTAACACACACTAAACTGCGAGTTAATACAGCAGTTTGTACAGTTTGTTTACAAGCTCCACTAGATGGAGGCAAAGCTTAGTCCATCTGATGAAACCAATAAGACAAGTTATTGACTGCTTTGATCATGATGTGCTGACATTCCAGACAACCCGCTGCCAGTATGTTTGTGCCACAAGAACGACAGCAGCAAGGGGATGATAAAAGTGGACTTTAGATTTAATTCTTATGTCACAAATGATAGCCATTGACTCAGAGTTCTTTTGTGACTTTGTTGTTGCAGTTTTTTAAAAATACTGCTGAAAATAAGACTTTCTGTGCCTCTCAGAGGACATACACATGGAGTGAAAATGGGAACACCTATATTTAGAGATAATAATGAACTTCAGCTTGAGCCTGAAATATTCAGTTTGTCTGATGTTACTTCTTACTTCTTAGAGATGAACATGGCAGAAATACCGTTTGCATTTACTTGATTTTTTTATACTTCACAACAGACTTTTTTTTTCCTATTAATTTGGGGAAACACTCCTTCTCATTATTCCTCTGCTACACCTCCTCGTTTGTTGTCAGAGCCATTTTCAAATCATAAAAAACAAAAGTTAGTTGTGGGGGAATTAACGTCTGACTGTTCTCTTATTTTGCTTAAATTTGAGTTTTTGAATTTAAATCTTCAGTGTTTCTACAATGAGATTTTTGGAAGTGTTGTCACTAAGTAGTAGGGATAACAAACTATGTCTTGCAGAACAATTGCAATGTTGAAATCAGATAATTAACTACACTTTACTAGTTTGACATGTGTTTTTCTATAAATTGTTTAAACTACAGCCCATTAAGTGGATGTGGTGCTAGTTTTTTTTTTTTTTTTATCTTTGATGCTCTGTCATATGTGTTCTTTGTCATTATAAGGCTGCCTAAAGGCTGGTAAATAAATGTATTTACATGTGCACTTTGTCATGCATGAAGTTCATTCATTCATTAGTTCATTCATTCATTTATTCATTCATTCATTCAACCAGCCTGTTAGTCAGTTACTGAATCTTTTATAATCATAGCACATCTGCCCCCTAGAGGCTCTTTACAGAAACTAAACTGGGCTCGTGGCCTTGTCTGCCCTCTGCAGTCTTGCCGAACTGTTGGGGAGCTTTGTTTGTGATACTGTTTGTGCAGCACAGCTTATATAATTGCAGTGATTACATATATTTGAGTGTCCCTATAAATATTTATCCATAGGATTTTTACCTTTGCCACTTCTGAGAGATTTATATGTTTTTATCTGATTTATATATTACTATTAATGCTGAGTATTAGTTCATCTTCATAAACAGATCAAGAGAAATGACTGCCTGTATACATAAAATTTGTGATCTTGCAGAAAAAAAGCTATGAAGCCTTACAGTGACAATCAATGACGCATCAGTTTTTATGTTAGAAATGTGTATAATTACATATAAACCACGGCACAAGCTGCTGAAAGAGGCATTAAAGCCATATTTAATACCACAATATCAAAGGTTTATTTTTTGCTGGTCCAATGAACAAAGTGTGAATCAGTCAATAAGTATGGTACATTCACCCTACATTCCTGGGAGGTAGGCTTTACGGAGTATTGTGTTAAAAGTGAGATATCTTTGTAAGATAAGAAAGGTAAACATTCACCCTTTCGCTCAAAATCTTGACTTGTAAACCAATCTCAAACGCAAAATCGCAAAAAAAAAAAAAAAAACACCTCACCAGTTTAACATGGCTCTAATATCTGTACCTTGTGCAGTCTACCAGTGATAATCATCATAAGGGCACATGTGATTCACCATTTAGTTGTTTATTTCCCTTCTTTTTGAGCGTACATAAGGGTGTTTCATAAGTATTTAAGGTTATTCCGCTGGCTCTCCTGTAATTGACTCTGGAAAACAGCATCACCTGGCTGCTTAAAACGCATTGCAAGAAATGTAATGCCTATAGCGGGATGTCTGGCTGTTAGCTCATCAATAATGGAGAGTCCACGCATGTTCAAGGCACGGCCTAGATTGTCTTACCGCTCCACTGCTCCGTGACACATGCAAGCACACCTGACATTAACTAACCAAGCAGCTTCGACGAGGTTCTGGGTGAGTGTGTGATTAAAGGGATGATCATGTGTGGCGACCTTGTCCTCTTTCTGTCAGAGCTAAACAAAGCAAAACAATGAACCCTGACAAACCTGCTCCCATACACGCATACACAACACAATACTGACATAGGAAACACAATTTCCTTGTGGACAAAACTGTTTTGATTTATCTGAGGTTGCATGAAGGTAGAGATGAGTAACACTGAGGCCCAGCTTTATCGGAGGATTAATGTTGACATAAAGACGGTGAAGAAGCTGTCAAGACGCCTTGGCAATGATGAGGATGCTCATGAGGAAGACCATGACGAAGAAGATCCACATGAAAAACCTATCCATCACCTTGGCAACCTTCTTCCACTCTGCCGCCTTGACGCATTGGGCTCTCTGCTCACGGAAACAGTTGGCGATGTATTGGATGTTCTTCACCACCTGCAGAACAGACAGTTCGGTTGAATTAAAGCAAGCACTTAAAGCATGCTCTTCTAGAAACTTTAGAAGAAGAGTAATCAGATCAGTAGTTTGTGGTGGTAAAGGGAGAAACAGCGTGCGGTGTCACCTGTTTATGCTGGAGGCAGGGGCAGCAGCAAGGGCAGGATGGGATCTGATACTTCTCTGAGGGGTAGAGGATCTGCTCCTTAAACCCCCCATTCAGGTGATGGAGGCTTCGCGGATGAGAAGCGGCCTGGTAGTCCAGCTCATCCCTCCTGATGTGGTGGTAGCGCTGTGGGGGCTCTTGCTTTGCCTCACCCCTCTCAAGCCTGGAAGCACGATTGTTGTGGTTGTTATAATGGTGGTGCCGGCTGTTGGCGCTGCCATTCGCCTGGCTTTTGTGATGGTTATTGTGATGGTGCACACTGTGGCCGTTGCTGTACTTGTATGGGTCGCTGTCATGATGGTAGAAACCATCATTGAAACGGTCGTCATGGTAGCCGGCCTTATCACTCATCGGTTCTTCCGGGTACAGTGGGGTTCTCTCACTCTCCGGTGTAGTGCAGTTCTCCCCCACTTCGTAGACGAAGAAGATTTTCGACATGTAGTCAATGATGAGCACTTTGGCCCAGTGAGGAACTGGTTTGGCCTCAGCACCACAGAAATGAATATTCATGATGAAGATGGTGAGGGAGGTGGAGGCTGTGATCATAGTCATAGTGGCAATATAGTACTTTCCTAGAGAAGATGACAGAAAAGAACACAGATATGAAGGGGAACACATACATAGCATCCATTATTTATAGAACACAAGGTTGCACATTTCATACAACTTCCTGTCTTCATCACAAAGGATTTGGAAAGTTACACCATCTGTAGTCCCAAATATGCAGTGTCTTCATACAAAGACAAAGCTACAGCCAATGTTGCCATCAAGTAACATTGTAAGAAACAGAATTCTATAGTTTCAATAGTTCAAATATGGATGAATGCTGGGCGCCCAGATAGCTCGGCGGGTAGGGCGGGCGACCCATATACAGGGGCTACAATCCCCGAGCAGTGGCCGCGGTTCGATTCCAGCCAGCGGCTCATTTGCTGCATGTCTTTCCCCCACATTTCTCTGTCTATTTTCACTGTCAAACTATCATTAAAGGCGGAAAAGCCCAAAAAATATATATTAAAAAAAAAAATATGGATGAATGCTCAGAATAATTCACACCTATGTAGGGCATGCTCTCTGCCGGAGGCATGCTCTCAGCCACCAACAACTGGAACACGGTGAGCGCCAGCAGCACTGTGACCCCCAGGGAAACCTTCTCCCCCGAGTCTGCCGGCAGGTAGAAGCCCAACGGGGCCAGGAACGAGATGAGGAAGCAGGGAAGGAGCAGGTTGAAGATGTAGAAAGAGGAGCGGCGCTTCAGGAGGAGGGTGTAGGTGATTTCAGTGTAAGGGTCTGAGCAGCAGCCGTACATCATGACGTTTCTTACAGCCGGCATGCCGTGACACTCCCACTCTACGTTTTCCACAAAGTCAGACAGGTCGCCACTGTCCATGCCCAAACTGATGTCCACCTATGTGGGGACACACATGAACATTGTGAAAGTCAGAATCATGGATGTATAAACTGTTTGGATTCTTGTTGCCAAAGGAAAGATGGTAAAGCAGCACATACATTAGAAAAAAATCATACAAACAGGATTAGGACTTGACCAAAAGTTTTGCATCAACAGTTGAGTTTCAAACACCTTTTTTGTTGAAACTTGGCTATAAAAACTTTTTAAATCCATATCAACCCATGTTTATACACACCTGGTTGCCATTGTAGGTCCAGGAGCCAAAAGTGAGATTGCATTGCTGCCAGTCAAAGGGAAAATAGGCAACATCCACCACACATGTGCTCTTTGTGATGGCTGGAGAATCCCATATGATCTCTCCGTTATAACGCAGCTTCACATTAGTGTTGGACGGACCTGACGACTCCTCATCTGCTCTACAAAGAAATTAAAAGGAAGGGACACATTTGTAGATTTTTGTCATCTTTTCATTTTGTTTTGTTTACTTTTTCTCCATCTATGTCTTTGACTCTTTGTTTGCCTTTCGTTGTGTTTACTACTTTGTTGTTTGTTACTAACTTGTTGTAGAGGACAATGTCCGGCTTCCAAACCAGATCACTGGGGATGTTGATCATCTCTAGATCATCATAGTCTTCCTTGTCCCACTTCAGGTAGGCATCATGCCAAACCTGCCTGATCCACAGGTAGGTGGTTAACACCTGGTTTCTCTCATCCTATACACACAAACACATTTACAGCAAGATAAAGAGAGACAGTGGTGACATTTAAGAAGGTTGAACCCAGACAGATGACATTTCTGAGAGGTTCACACAGAGAAAAATGTGAGCAGCATGTTAAAAAAAAACAATACTGTCTGTAAAATATAAGAACTACACATTTGTTTTGTTGCTGTAAATAGAGAACCATGAGTAAACTAGGAGGTAGCCCACAAATTTTCATACATGGTCACTAGGACTAAAACGCAGTCTGTAAAAACATCTATATAAAGTCCTAAGAGCCTCAGTAGAAGGCAACTGGACTTCTCTTATTGTTTCCTGAAGACATTTAAAACACTGACACACAAGCTGAGCAACATTATATATCAAGTCCACTGCAGCAAGGAGTACACAGACCTATTGTGGAGACTAAACAACAGCTCCACAGGCACAACACAGAAAAAGACAAGACTCTGCAGTTCAACTGCATCTAAAAGATAAGGGAAACCCCTTGTATGTTCAAATGGAAGTACCATCTCTAAACAGAGGAGGGGGTCTATGATGCTACTTATCAGGTACTTATAATGCAGTCTTGAGATACCGCCCCAGAAAGTTTCACTACCAGTAACATCTTGAGTAATAACTGACCTATCTGATTCACAGCTATTCACACCTCGAGACATGTGAATCTGGGGTCATTAATGGGCCATTAGTGGGTTGGGAGTGTCAAAATATATCTGGGACTTCCCGTCATTCAGCTAGAACTGAAGAGGCGTGATACGTCTTCAGGAACCATAAAGACAAGTCCAGTGCCTTCTGCTGAAGCTCTTAGGATTAGCCCAACCTGGATGGCTGAGAAGTTACACAAACAGCTGTGTGAAGTCTTCTGTGGCACTAAAGGAGCTTTGTCAAGTCTGAGAAATTTACTCAGGTGACTTCAGCCAGGTATCTCAGCTTGGGCCTGTGGAATGTAAATGCATCACTGAAAGCTTGAGCTACAGACTGGGGAGTTTCAAAGATGACGAAATGCACTCGTCAGTGAGGATCTGACCAAGTGGCATAAGAGGGCCAAAACATGGGACTCAGTGGTGGATCTTCCATCCATTGGTCCATCCATTATCTATACACCGCTTAATCCCCACTAGGGTCGCGGGGGGTCTGGAGCCTATCGCAGCTGGCTTAGCGCGAAGGCAGGAGACACCCTGGACAGGTCACCAGTCTATCGCAGGACTACATTTAGAGACAGACAACCAAGCACACTCACATTCACACCTACGGACAATTTAGAATCACCAATTAACCTCAACATGTTTTTGGACTTGTGGGAGGAAGCCAGAGAACCCAGAGAGAACCCACGCTGCACGGGGAGAACATGCAAACTCCCCACAGAAAGATCCTGGTGCCCCCACCGAGACACGAACCAGCGACCTTCTTGCTGTGAGGCAACGGTGCTACCAACTACACCACCTTGCAGCCCAGTGGTGGATCTTGCACTATAGATATAGCATATATATTGTGCTGTGTGTCAGCAAAAGTAACTGTTTTCACTGGACAAGACGTTATTTTACATTTAGTGGCCCCAATGCAGTGCAAATACATCTCCCCTGCCACAACATCTGTCTTTAGACAGTTCACGACATTCAGTGTCATTGTAAATTCAATTTTATTATGGATTGATTCACTGATGTCTATGTGTATCCTTATATATACATAGATGATGGGGGCTGAATACTAGAAACACCTCTCTGTATAATGTAGTCCAGGATAAAACCTTTGCTAACTGGCCTAAACGGTCAACCACAGACAGTTTAAAAAAGCTGAATTTATGTAGCCTACCTACATGATACTCTTTAGATGCAGGCAACAAGGAAATGTGATTGTCAGTTGCGCCTCAATTTTGTATTTCAGTGCTTCTTGGAGCATCTTAACCTCAGTATGATTAAATATTTTTACAATTAGATTTTCACTCAAAATTATTTGCTTTTTAAAGAATCTGATTCAAGCAAAGGGTTTATTTTAGGCAAATCTTTAGTGCGACGGGGAGAATAGCCTAATAAATGTTGCTATTTTTTAGTTGATGCCAAAAAAACTGCACAAACTGTCTGAGCATGAAACCAATAAAATCTTTGAATCTTCTAATTTATAAGTCGTTGTAAATACATGCTGTGTGGCCAAGCATTCTTCAGATTCATTGAATATTTGCGAATCTAATGAGTAACGTATTAAAAGTGACTTGATACTTTTGGCTGAATTTGGGAAATATTTGTATATGTGTGCAATGGATTCACAAAGTATTCCACATTTATAATGTAACGGTGCAGCCACTGTACGTGTTTTATACAACAAGAGGGCACAGATTATCTGGATATGCAACATGATCAACTAGAACATTTTCAAGTCACGTCAGGAAGTCTCTAAACATTTTTGTGTGTGTGAGTGTGTGGTTAAAGGGTCTTATCTTTGGTTTGGTGTTGGGCAATGATTCGCATTTGCCTTTCGTCTCCACTCACCATATCTTTGATCTGTGACAGCGTGATCTGCAGGGAGACATTGAGTGCTGCGTCTGTGTCCTCTACGGGTCTCAGAGCGTTGGAGTAGTCCTCCATCAGGTCATTCAGAAGTTTGCGGGCGTAATGACCCTGAGCACAATGGGACACTAAGGGGCAAAAGGAGATTACAGGGTGGGTACAACACACCAAGAAGAGTGAAAAGTTACAACAGACACAAATATGAAAAGAAAAGTAGCAGAAAAAGGGCAGAAAAACACAAACTTGTGTATCACTTATGTATCAGTCAGATACAGCACAGGCATCAAACTCATCTGTCATGCAGAACTGACCTTGCACCAGAAGGCTGATCCAAATCATCAGCACTGCCTTCCTCATTTTTAACCAGTCACAAGCCGAGGGATCAATTATTTAGCAAAGCAGTCGCTGAGATAGCGTGGTCCAAATCCAGAATGTTACTCGATTCTGATCTCCATTCTCCCCCCGCTGAGGCTGAGCCAGCCGAGACCACAGAAAATTCTCAAAAATCTTACATCCTGTCAGAAGCGCTGAATGCTTCGCTAGTTGTTAGTCGCAGTTCGCCTCTGTCACTGTCTCTGTGTGTAATTGCTGCTGTGGAACAGGACCTGGGTCGGCCACACACACACACAAACACACACATACACACAGGTACGCTGGAGTATCACATAGCACACAGGCACTGGGTGAAATGTGATGCCTGCAGCCTTATCCACTTGTGTACATGACCACAACCAGCTGTATGACACACACACACATGCACACACACACTAAGCCTTCCTGCGTTACATAGCTAATGACACGTGTCAGTCACACACATACAGTGACACTTTCTTACCCACGGTCAGGTCACTCAAGATGAACAAACACACAAGTCAATGAGGACGTGACACATGTCATACGTGTCACATGACAATGGACTTCACACAGATCCAAGATCAGGCCTCATCTGTGAGGAGGAATCTTTGTCAGTAGGACTGTAAAGCTGTGCGCTGGTTGTAGATCAGAGATAAGAGTTAAATTTCATCTTCGCCTTGTTTGCAGGTTGTGAAAGAGGCTGCACTTGACTGATCTCTGTAATACTGTACAGCACACATGCCTTCTTTAGAATTCAGACAATCTTAAATTACTAATGTACACCATTTCTTTGATTGTGACAAAGATTTTCATCATATAGCAAGGACCGCTAGAAAGCGTTATGTATTTCTTTTGTATTTTTTTGTTTCACTTTGTTTTTAGTTATTGTTGTTTTGTGGATTGTATCCTGTATGTGGGTTGTTTTACAGAAGAAAAATGAAAAATCAAAGTGAAATTATGGTTGTGTATTCAAAGATAGCACTGAATGAAACTACTAAAATACCACTACTGCTAAAAATGAGAAGAAAAGTATTCAATCAGTGTTATTTTTGCAAGAAAATACAGAAAGGGGCATTTGCAAGATCCCACAGTCTATGTGTATCGATGATAACATTAGAAACTGTACTTTGACAGATTACTAATGCTTATAGGTATTATATAATTGTATCTAATTTTTGAAATATACCATCAGTTTACTTCATCACTATAACAATTTCATCTAGTAAATACAAAGGGAATAACTGTGAAACTACAAGAATTTGCAAATATATTCATCATTTATGTAAAAACATTTCAATTTTCTTTAAAAAAAAAAAAGTCTTTTACCATATTTCACAATCACAGGTTTTTAATGTTGTTTTACTTTAAACAAGTTTATTTTTGTAATTCCATTTATATTTGTTGTGCATTTCAAAAATACAGAAAAAAAAATCTGTAAAATAAAAAGAAGCAATTCTATAAAATTGGAGATTTTTTTTTAGTGCACAAAGTAACTCAAAGATGAGCAGCGACAAGAATGAATGAATGTAGCTGAAGTTTTTTTTTGTTTTTTTTTAGTGTATTATTGTCATTCAAAATGAGAGGATAACACTTTTGTGTATTTAACACACAACCTCTTGCTCTCTTTACACGCATGTATCAGCCCAGCACGTGTGAGCGACTGTTTCCTCTGCTGAACTTTCCTGTTGTTCATCCTCAAGACTTACAGTTTTAAAGTGTATACTCTCCTCAAACATTCAAATATTGTTTAAAATATGCTGCAGAGTCCATTAAAACTTAAGTTAAATGCTGGTTAAATGTCTGGTTAGAAGACTTTCCTGTCCCTCAGCATGTGTTTTCAGGGTTCCCCGAAGTGGGCAGCAACAGACGATCTACTGGTTGATGGTTTGTAAATGTGACGCAAAGCATTACTGAAAGAAAGCAAGAACTGTCAGTCAGCTTTACTTGCAAAACTACAGCTTTTTTTTAATGCAGCAGGTCTGTTTCTAAGACACTAAAATGCTGAACATTAGTTCAGGTTTCAGAATTCAACTATTTGTATATATATTGTAGATACATCATATAGTTTATGGATTGTTAAATATACTAGATGCAAATGGAAAAATTGGAATATATGTCAAAGGTGTAGAAATGCCTGTTGTTGATACAATTGATTAGTTAGTAGATTTTGGCTAGTTTCATTGTGTATTTGCAACTATGACAACCACAAAAGCCAAATGTATTTTTAAAAAGAGACAAGGAAGTTTCACTCAAAACTTGAAAAACCATATCTCACACTGATTTTTAAAAGTCTGTTTTTACCACTTAAAATAATTTGTACCCGTACTCGGATTAAACTGATTTTAAAAAGAACACAAGTTCCCTGTAGTTCAGAGCATGTCAATACTTCAGTGTCACAAAAGAAAAGCATCAAACAATGTCATAAGAAATGTTACTGACATAGTTGTGCTCTTTTATTCCGCAGAGAACAGCGATGTGATGTGTCAATGTGTCACTCAGTTTCTGTGGTACTGAGCTCGCATAGGACAGGTGTTTCCTGTGTGTGTGTGTGTGTGTGTGTGTGTGTGTGTGTGTGTGTGTGTGTGTGTGTGTGTGTGTGTGTGTGTGNGTGTGTGTGTGTGAAAGGAAAGAAAGTGTGAAATAGACATTGTACCAGAGTCGCACAAGAGTTTCTGTTAAAAATTTGGAATGTTTATTTCTGTGTTGAGCTCAGTGTGTGTTGTTGATAAGTACCGTTGTGTTTCTGTGTGTTAAAGGTGTGTGTGTGCGTGTGTGTGTGTGTGTGTAGGTGTGTGTGTGTGTGTGTGTGTGTGTGTGTGTGTGTAGGGGAAAAGCAGAGTCAGTAGGCTGAAAGGGTAAATGTGTGCTTGTGTGGTGAACACTAAAAATCAGAATACAACATTTGCCATATAAAATTTAAAAAAGAGATTCTGTGAGTGTGTGTGCAGTAATGATAGTACTGCTCAGGATTTGTGTATGTTGGAGAAGCTGGAGCAGAAAAGGAAACAAGGGAGGAGCTTTCAGAAGCAGAGTTAGACAGTGAGACACAACGACTGAAAAGTAGGGACAGAGAGACAGAAAGAGCAAAGAGTGGAGAGGAAATGTGTGTATTTACCATGATGATCGTCCTTCCTCTGTAATCAGCAGTGTTTGGTGAACAGCGCTCATCTGCAGTGGAACAAATCGTTCAGGCACACAGTCATTTAGAGCAAGAAAAGTGTGGCTGGTGATATTCTATGTTTTTCTCTTTATCAACAAGCAACATATCTAAGAAATTACTACCGAATCCTACCTACAAAGAGCATTTGTGTTGCCAATACTGGAACAGTGAGCCTTTTTATTGCAGTGGCAATGCCTTTTTCTTCCCCCAGAAGTCACTATGACATGTACGGTAGGAACAGTGCAGGATTAGATAATAAAAATAATCGCACATTTCCATTTAGTTGCGACACTGGCATTGTGTATGACGGCTCGTTGTCTTACAGGGAAACTTGAATAGAGATCCATCATTAGTTTTAGTGCCACCTGTGCTGATCCTATAAGAACAAATCAAAAGATGTGCTGTGAAAATGTCTCTTAAGATAAATGTGGTCACAACAGCCTGAGTGTAAGTAAAGTATTTAATATCTATCCACAATAACAAACAAATACCAATACCAGAGTTATTGTTTAATGTCAGATATACTGAAGAAAAAAATTTAATTAAATTAAAGCAAATTAATGAAACAATCAGTGCTTGCATTTTTTATTTTTTTTAGTAAATCTCAAAAAGAAAATCTGAACTTTATTGAAATATGTGTATGAAGAACAAAAAGCACGTTTCACAGCATATAGGACAAGGTTGTATACAATTGGAAAGCTGATTGGCTGTTGTTGCCATGGTTGCTATCTGCTATAAAACAAGAAGCACATGTACGGCTAACAATCTCTTAACTTCATCTGAACAGCTGAGCCAGTGAGCTCAGTGTCAGAACCCCGGAGCAGCACCTCAACAAACTGTAGCCATAATTGTGAACGTTATTAGCTACATCTGTGCTTTGGCTGCTATGACGAGTCAAATCGTCTCCACGTTCAGCAGCTCTTTGGATAATTCAGAGGCACCTGAGCATCAAGTTCATGCACTACCTGTTGACTGTGAAGTGGCTCCACAGCGTACAGCTCAGAACACCACCAACCTGCATGTGTGTCTGTGTGAGAGAGAGAAAATTAGAGAAAGAAAGAGAGACAGAAAGAGGATGACAACTGGCTGTGGTAGCTGTGGCAGAGAGCGCAATGAGAGATGAAAGCTCTGACCACAGCAGGCAGTCAGACATGCTCAACAGTCAAACTGAAGCATTTCTGTTTGTCATTTCATGTACACAGTATTAAAAAGTGCAAATGTAGACTATCATTTGAACATGCAGCTATATTATTGGGCTGTCGTTCCTTAAAAAATATGTTAAGAGCAGAGTAAATCGATGTTCTTCTTATTTTAGGTAGTTGAATTTGACATCATCATCAGGAGGCTAAAGTAGGGTTTGCATTTTCAATCTATTTTAAACATAATTTTAGATATAAACATACCTTTTCATATCTATATAAATCTACATATTTATACACTGAAGAGCTGATACATTTGAAGAGCGTTGACAAATACGCCGCAAGAATGCTGCTTTGTAAATGAACGTGTAAATAGTGAGCATGTGGGATTTCTTTTGACATATGTCAGACATTATAGGGCCCTAAACAAACTTGCAAAAGGGATTAACCTGTGGCTTAATAAAGCAAAATAATAGTAAACACCATTAACCTCTTAAGAACAGAGCTCTTGTTTGATATGCATTTTCTTATTTCTCTTTGCTATTTGTTCTGATCAAATAGCAAAGAGAATAAAAATGTTAAAAATATATAAAGAAAATAAAAAATATTAAAATATCTATATATACATATAAAAAAATATAAAATGACAACAATTAAATAATAAAAATAAAACAAATTTAAAAAATGAACTACTGTGGTAATATAACCCATGCATATGGACCCCTTGAGAGGTCAAAGATTAATACTCCTGATAATTAAATGTTTATAATGGGCCTAGATTTTTGCGACAATATACAGCTACAAACAGCAGAGTTGGTGGACTTGCAGAGGCCTACATGAAGCTGGTTCTCTGTTCAGGTGGTCTCCTGTGTGTCTACATGATTCTGTCTTGTGAGCAACAGCATCCGTAGGTTTGTCAGCAGTGAGCGAGTGTTTCTGTGAAGACGGTGAGAGAGCGGCTGAGACCTGCTGTGCATTGAGTTTGTGTATATAATGTGTATAGGTATATGTGTGCGCACTGGGTTGTGGTTATGTGTTTTTCAGCATATCCTTGAAAAGTGTGTGTTGTAGCTCTCATCCTCAGCAGCTCTGAATACCACATAAAACAGAGACATGTAGAGAAAGAGCCGGAGAAAGCATGAGGGGGAAGGAACAGCTTCTCTGAGCTTCGTTCCTAGTTGTTTGCTGTTCCTGGTCGTCTTTTGGGGCTTTTTTTTTTTTCGCTTTCATTATCATTCTTTTGAAGCATTAAACATTTGACACACACTGGTTTTCTCAAACAGCCCTCATGTTGTCCTCTGACATGCGCATTCACACATCTTACACACAGCGTCTCACACGTCATACATATAGACACATACAGTATCTATGGGGGTAAAAACAAAAAACAAAAAAAAACTATATTTGAGATTATAAGACTTTTGAGTTTTAGGGCTATTCAGATTCGTAAGATTTTGTACAACTTCTAAAACCCTTTTGCAATTTTTAACTCATTATAGAAATAAAACTGAAGCTTGGACTCAAAAGTTTAAAGTCATATGTGTGATCTGAACTACATCTTGTGCCTCCACCTCTTATCTAGTGTATGCCAATATTCTTACCTTTTGGTACACATAACTCTGGAATAAGATTATATAGATGCTGTACTACTGATTTTCAAACACTAAATATGGCAGCCTAAATTATTGACTTTTTAAATCACTAAATGCAACAAAAAAGTTTGTTATGGGCAAGTTAAAGACTGGACCAAGATTTCCTGCTTGTCTGCTTCCGTCGCACCTCCGTAAATCTATTAGGGTCTTTTCATGTACGCTGTAAAAAGGTAGAATTTCTAAGCTTTTATAAGTACACAGTGTGTCTCAAGCAGGCAGTTAAATAGCTCATATATTTTGTATATGAAATGTATGTGATGTGCAAAACATACAGTACGTCAGGACGTGAGGCATATAATGCAGGTATCTATATGAAAAGCTGCAATTATAAGACAATGAAAACAAAGTGGACCATGTCTTTTAATGTAAAATAAAAATTACACCTCTTCCACTGTGTGATTCTTATAAAGTTCATTCTGGACCAGTAAGTGATGTAAAACAGATGGAGAGTGATAAACAAACAACAAACAACAAAAAGAAAAAAGACAAAAATGATAAATATAGGTATATAACTTGCAAATGAAAAGCCACAAATGACTGAAAATCCGATCTTGTCCCATTTTTAGATTTGCTACCTCCCCGTGTATACGCATTTAGTTGTCCGTTACAGGTAAAACTGTACAATTACACCAACTGTACAGATAAGTTAAAACAAAACTGCTAAGTGTGTTGAACCTGTAGTTTTATTCAGTTTTAAGTGAGTTAGTTGTTCCACAAAAACCACACAAAGAAAAAAATGAAGACAGCAGGAGGTATCTTAATATCTTTGCTGCATTTTCTAAAAAAAAAACTTAAAAAAAACAGTATACAGTATATTTTTAAAAATTCCATAACAGTCACTGATACGTGGCACGATTCTGATAAAATGTGAGCATTTTATAAAATTTTGATGTGTCTTGCATATGTTCAAGTTCTAAAAGAAAAAAATGGTAGGTTGATCTACAAATAAAAAATAAATTCCTTAATAACATATATAGACTTCATTTCAGAATTTAAAGTATTTAAATAGATTTGACACATTTAAATAGGATGAATGTATAATCTAGAGAAAACATGCAGCCTGTAGGCATTTTTGTCAACATTTTTACCTGTCAATGGTTTATTTTCTGGTCACGTCTAATACAATTCCCCTGTAAAGACAATATAAAGAAATAAATTGTATGTACAGCCTAACAAAAGTCTTCCATGTTTGGCTGTCATCTGCATTATCTTATTATTGATAGTTTAAATCATTGCTGACACACACTATAATTTACTTATTTCCTGTCAATAAAAAAAAGTTTTTCCCATTTGATTCTTTTCAAATGTGAAAATCACATCACCATGGCTCTTTGCCACATTAAAGAAAATGTCATTTTATTTGTGATAGTAAATGAACTTATTTGGTTAATTCAGCATTTCAAAGTTCACATCACACTTGAAGTACTATAATTAAGTAAAAGTCTTTCACAAAAATCCGTTGTCCCGCTTGTCCAAACTCCATGTAAGAACAAACACTATGCTTAATTACTTCCCTGGATCTCAAACACAGATCCTCTTCCACCTCTGACACATGCATGAGGGTCCACAGGGTCTATGTTTTAATCAGTGCATTCTCAGTTTGAAATACATTTTGGTAGGTTCGTGAAAACCCTTTGTTATATCTGAGAAATCACATTTTGGGTTCTTCCACCTCTACAAGGCCAACTGAGTTTGAACAGCACACTTAACATCTCATAAAAGGCTCAGGTGTCCACCACATCAAGGTCAAAAGACCTTACACTGGTTTATGCTGAACAAGCTCCTCCTGGCCTGTTTCCTGGCCTGCTTCACAACAGTACGCACTGCGTACTCAAACACCTGCTGCACACCGCGGTTGCTCAGCGAGGAACACTCCAGATAGCCTTTAGCGTGGATTTCTTGAGCCACACGTTTCCCCTCCATTGGTGTGATGCAGCTGGCCCGATGCACCCCCACCTCCCTCAGGTCTGTCTGGGTCGCCACAACCAGCACCGGTACCTTGGGCAAGTTTTCCCGAACCTCAGCGATCCACTTGTGCTGGACGCTGGCCAGAGAGTTCGGGTTCGCCACAGAGTAGCAGATGAGGACGACATCGGCCTGCTGGTACGATCTCGGCCTGATCTGTTTGAAGTTGTCATTGCCCGCTGTGTCCCACAGCCCCAAACTGATCTGGACGCCGTCCATGTACACCTCCACCCCAGTGTTCTCAAACACTGTGGGCTTGTAGTTCTCTGGGAAAGTTTCCGAGGTGAAGCGGACCAGCAGGGCCGTCTTGCCGACTGCGCTGTCCCCAACGAGGACACATTTCACTGACATCTCCGGATAGTCGTTCATGGCTGCCTCCAGTTACCTCACACCTCAAGACGTTTGTGGTTCTTCAGAGGAAGTCTAAGATCTAGCCGTTTTGTCGATTTACAGGGTCCGCCAGGAAGTCAAAAGGAGTGATCACTCTGTGTGTGCTGTACTTCCGTATGCAGGTGGTAGGTTTGTTAGGTGGTGATGTGCAGCCCAGCTTTGTGGAAACTCCATCACAAAAGATACGCTACTGCAGGTGGTTATTCAGCTAATTGAGCTGACCTTTGACACGGGCCTCCTCTGATTCCTCAAATGTCTCTCACAAACGGTCAGCACAGTTGTATACACGCTTCACATAACCTCCTCCTTCTTTAGGTCATGTCGGCTCGCTTCACTTCAGCTCAGCCTCCACAGCAGCGTGGTCAGGTTCTGGTCCTTCTTTCCGATAATCAAGAAGATCGTCATTCTGTCTAGACTGGTCGAACCTCTCGGCACCGAAGAGGGAAATTTCCTGAGGAAGAGAGATGAAGAGACGATATTTTACCAACACGATAGTTAGAAACGCTTCAGCTTTGTTCATTTAACACAAGTTTTATGTATACATTTCTCCACGCAGCTGCCAGCTTGTTCTCATACAGCATACAGTCCGCCATGGAGGACGACGTCAGCATGGCCCTTTAAGCAAGACGCTTGCATGACAAATGAGAAACAACAGCTCAGATAATAAATCTAAATTGACAACTGCTAGAATATTGCATGTGGTAGATGACATTTTCATGTATATTTACAAAACAAAAGTAAAAGTATAAAGATATCAGCTTTAAAGTGCGGATTAAATACGGAAGTAAAGGTTTGTATGTTTGGGTGTGACCCACAATTCACAGCTTGTTCCCAAAGACTTAAACGGGACTCATTAATCACATCTGTGTCACATTATCAAGCTCATAAGTGATATCAATCTGTCTCCAGTTACTCCAATGCATCTCCTTTACCTCAGAGCAGCCTCGATTCTGCAGTGTACACCACAAACCGATGACAACACTGACTGAGGTCGTCTCCGTTTAATACAGTAACAGGAATTAAACTGGCTCCAAAGGCCTACACAAAATCTACCTTTGGTCTCCAATGAGTTATCTGTTGTATTAAATTGAATGTTGTGTTGAAGCAGCAGACACACCAAGTGATAACCTCAAAACCACCTGCCATGTCACACGCAGTCATCTAGATGGAAAGACCAGCATAACGTAGATGGGACACTTGAATCAGTGGTTTTTCCACACTTTGACTGTCAAAATTATTTCACTAGAATAAGCCTCAGTTTGGTCCTGCGGAGGAAAGATAAAATGAATAAATAAAGCAAGAAAAAGGGAACAACTAGTCCCTTATGTGATGTAACTACTATGCAGCTACTTTGTTTATCCAAGCAGACAAGCAGTTGCGTGTAGTTTAGAGTAAAACATTATGTGACACACACATAATTATGTATTTGTACAACTGGGAGATTAAGAATACACACTGAGGAGTTTACTTGTTCCATTTTAAAGTTTAAGCTGATTTTTTTTTCTTTAAATTCTACAAAGCTCATCTTTTATTGATTGATGGATTGATTGATTATTTAATTTCAGAACACAATAGAGAACTTTTTCCCTCAAAGATGTCAGACACAGCGTTGCATCGAGGCAAAGAAGAAGACAAAGGCGACAAAGACACACATAGTCGGGCCTACCGTTCTTGTCGGATGCTGGCTGCCGCCCTTTGAACGCGGCACTGCGCTGACACAAAACAGGCCTTAACCTCCAGAAAAAGTTCAGTTTATGGTTAGAATATGTCGAACCGGCCTCCTTCAAAACGCCACCGCTACCGCCATCAATCTGAAGCGACACCTTCCTAAATATCTGGCTGGTCTTTAGAAGAGCGAAGTGAGAAGGTACAAGATAAAGGCAAGTAAAACGCATCCGCTTGTTGGAGTGTGGAGGTGTGACTCGCTGCTGCTCGCCTCCCCCACAGCAGCTGTGTGTGCGCATATCTTCTTTTTTTCTTTCTTTTTTTGTGCCATTGTGCGCACCGCTTTACGCAGCAGCGGAGCGCACAGCTGGCGCAAAGAAATGATTTTACTTAGGAAGGATTTATTTATGTATGATCACACAGGTGTTGTGGGAAACAGAACGACACAATGTGAACTTCAGTTGGTTATCAAAAGTAAACCACTTCTGAATTAAGGTATCATGTTCTGGATTGGTTGTTGTGCCATGTATCCTTGGAGAAACCAATTGTTTCCCACTGTTATTGGAAGAACCCCGCTATGTTCATGTCAAAGGCTGTTTACAGCTGTTACAGGGCATGTAAAAAAGACTTCAGTTACAGATGTTTTAAAAACTGTATTGCCCATTTTACAAACGTCTGCAGCTGCTTTTACCTGCACCAAGCACTCATAATATGCAAATATATACAAATTTATGTCAATGGTGATATTTAACATTTCTTGTAACCAAATAGTCAGAAGTGTTTGCAATTTATAGCCTCTGTTCTACTGATTTAGAGAGACCTTTTAAGTTTCAAACATTATGTTAATGAGTTGGATTGACAGGATATTGTTGGTTATTGCATCAACCTGAAATTATGTTGTAATTTAAACTCAAATTTCAGCGTTAGTTGATTCAAAACGAAATTCAAATCAATGCAACCTCATGAAATTTGCTTGATCACTTAGTTTTTCTGCCCCTTGATTTGAGGAGTTGAAGTCCCCTCCCTTATCTTTACATGCTTGGACAATTTCAAAAGGTTAAGACTGGTGATTAAAAAAAACAATTGACTGTAGAGGAAAAGCTCATTCTTATTACTAAATGTAGTTTTTGGGTTTGCCATAATTTTCTAAAGTTGTCATAACTCAAAAAGTTAAATGCAAACTGTTGCATATTTTTGGGGGTGTAAGCAGACATGACCTTAGGACGATTACAGGCAAACCAAAAGTGTTGTTTCTAATGTTTACGCGGCACGTGTTTGGTAAAATATTGTTTAAACTGTAACTCACATGATTTACGGATTGGGTGTATATTTTAATGAGAAAAACTAATATTTTCCAATTGTTCTATGAGCTCTGACCTTAAAAATATAACCCCTGTAAATGAAATAAAGTAGTTTTGATGTATTCATAACATTAAGCCACAATGTCGGGGCTGCAATCGGATTTTGGCAAATGGAAAACTGCATTACATGAGTTGAATTAGTCCTTTAATACAGGTAAATAAAGAAATAAATGGACCAGTTATAATCTGGGGCACTAAGCGGATAGAATAATGCACAGGCATAAGGATAACTGTTCAATGGACAGCAGTCTTTGGCAGAAGACCAACTCTTTAACGTAATATCTGTAAAAATAGCATTAAAGGATGAGTTACACTTATATACTGCAGTTTTCCAATTTCATTGATGATTATGGTTATGTTTTTGAAGATATAGTCCATAGGATCATTTAAAAAAGGTTAATTTCTTTATTTCATATATAAAACCTATCCGTAAATCATGCTAATTACAGTCTAAACAAGAATATTAGACATATCTTAAGTCCACAACAACCGCTGCTAGTTCACTACAACACACCTGAATGTCAACCAAACTTTTGCCAATCAATTTGCATTGTGGGGACTGTTGGTAGCAAGTCATAAAGAACAATACATGGACAAAAAATAATAATAATAAGTGGAAGGAGTGCAAAGCTAATTCAGCTCCTTTGAAAAGTCTGTTATATTCATGCTTTATTTTATTAGCACTATTATGTTTATTAAATATTGAGTCAGTGTAAAGACTTGTACAATACTTATCCAATGTTATAAAATATGCATAAATTACTATTTTTATCCTGTATTACATTTGTGGTAAATGGTGACAATTTCATTTAGTAATCTCCTGCAGGGTTCTAAACATACCATCAGAAACAAATAATGATCTTTCTTGACAAATGACGGTTTGAATGGACATTATCAATAACTGTATATGTTGAAGCTATGAAGCATTTGTCGTACCATGTTCAGGTCACAATATACTGTGTATAATGCGCAGTCTTTAGATACAAGGAATAATATTAAATAATTAAATCTACTTGTCAGTGTTTTATGATGACTTTTGTTGTTGACACAGCAGTAGTTAAGGCTTTATTTTTTCCACTATGACTAGTTGAGAAATACAAATACGCTGAGTTTCAATTCTGAATCCAGACTACTCAGATGTAATTTATTCATTTAAAACTGAATTACATATTTTGTTAAAACATAAAAGCTACTTTGACCCACACAAACACAACCACAAACTGTAAACAAATAGGATTTTATTCCACCATATTATATGCTCTGTAAAACCTTACCAACAAATTACTGTAAAAAATACATATTTTTTCAGATTTCATGTGCTCATAACATTATGTACAGTCAGTGAAATCTGTCAACACTGTTGTTGCATTTTATGAAAAAATATTACACTGGTAGAAAAAACAGAAGATATTTGAAGTCTACAAAATTAATGTAGCAAAATTTGGCACATTGTGTTTTTAAAAAGCTACCAGGCTAGAAACAATCAACTGGTCTCGAAAGAGACGAAAACTTAGAATTATTCAAGTGTCACCTGAGTTTCAGTATCAATATATTAGCAGCTAAACTTTGTTTGGACTCATGCAAAAGTAAACGAACAGGAATGCGTTGCAGAAGCAGCTGCGAAGACGTCGAAGAGTGTCACAGTGGAGGTTAAAACTGATGAGGTTAATGGCCTTTGATTATCTGTGGAGTTTCAGACGGGTGTTGTTTCTTTCTATGCATTTGGCTTTGTGGTGGCGAAACAGTAAATGTATAACTAACACCAAACACAATGCTTAAATTATGTCTCAAAAAAGCAGAAGAGAGAAACACAAACTTTCGAGCAGGCAGCAAGCGATCATCAAATTAAGTTGCATAAAATATTTACAGTGTGTCTTAAACATGACTCCAGATTATTAAATGTTGAAATGATTAAATAACTTATTTAACAGGGAGCCTGCCAGACACAGGAGCTTTTCACTCTTTAAAATACATACAGGCAAATGTACACTAAAATATTTTTAAATATACAATACAGTATACTTGTATTCTCACTTTACAGATGCAGAAAAATATCCTTTTTTTGTTTCACACTAATGCAGTCCTTTTCCATAAACACCGAAAAAAAAAATATTAAACATTAAAATCTGAACTGAATATAGCCTCAGTTTAACCAGCCGTTACAAATCTGGGGGTTTATAGACAAAGAAAGAGAGACAGGATGAGCAAAAAAAAAACTACCAAAACTGACAAACAGAAGTAAGACACACATCGGCTATCACGCTGTATACACTGTAAAATTGTAGTTTGGCATCGCAGACGTGGAGAATGACGGATAAAGAGAGTTGTCCTCCACAGCAGCTTTAGTTTGAATCCAAAAAACAGGTTCTTTTTCACTTCAAAGAGACCAACACAAGGCCTGCCTTTGGCTCAGTGAACCTGAGAGATGCAGAGATAGAAGAAAAGGTGGGTGAAGATGAACACGTCTGGCTCTGGCGTTTTGCTTTGCTGTGTGTGTGCACGTACCTGTAGTGTTTGTTGGTGAGGTAGTCTATAACGGCGGGGCGGATGCGGGCCACGCCCCCCTGGCTGTGGTTCCCTCTTCCTGTGATGACAGAGAGCTGAGGTCGACACAGACCCTGTTCGCAATCTACACAGAAAGAGGCCAAAGAAGAACAAAAGACACACCCCGGGAACAGAGTTAACAGCAGCAATGTGCACAAACTTGGAAAGGAGGGCAGGAGTACCAGCTTAGAAAATGTAGCAAGCTGGGCGTTGTGATTGGTAATATGGTTCAGGTGCACCACGTACCAGTGACGTTCCTGGTTGGTGTCAGGACTTAAAGGCGCACAGCATCAGTTTTACACATTAAATTGAGGATATCTCTTTTTCTTTGGTTCAAACCAGGTGAACCGTACCACAGGTGTGAAAGCAATTCAAGATGCAAGGCTCATCTTTCACATGATCCTTTTGGCCTCAAAAAGCCCTTTTCAGACATGGAACATGTCGTTTATCTACTAAAATGAAGGCTTTTGTCACTCATACATAAGTGACTTTCCGGTTATTGTTCCTTGCAGCTTTATTCAGACATAAAAGACACAGTACTTGTGTGATGTTTGGCACCTGGTGAGTGAGAGGGAGCAGAGAGCAGCCGAGAGCACGACAGACATGAGATAAAGGTTGTGATAATAAGTCTAAATAGGTGGTAACACTACCAGATGAACATAAACTTCTTCATGTTCATGTTTAGCCTTGTCCTGCTACAACCTTTATGTTTTATTACATAAAATTTTACATTTTATTCAGAGTTGTGCAGTTTTGAAACATAATGACATCTGCTAAAGTCAATGCTGGGACTTTTACATCAAAGCAACAAGGGTGTTATTCACACATAGAAGCCCACATGTTAAACTGCCATCAGATAAACAATAAGAGGTGCATGTCTATAAAGTTCAATACTGAGTGTATACAGTATATTGTTAACTACCTGTGCTTTTGTCCTGTAAGACCTGGGCCAGATGTTCTAGGGCCTCGTCTACATGCAGCCCGTGGAGGTCCAGGATGTTTCTGGGCAGCAGCGATGAGTTGACCCTCTCAAAAATCTGAACTGCTGCACGGTGATTGGCCTCACGCATCCGCTGGCCATGCAAGTGCCCCTAATAAAAAAGAAATGAGTGGATACAAATGTATTTACTCTTTAGCAGTGCAGTTATCAACATTAATCAGGCATACCACAATTACAAAACATAAAACAAGAAAGCGGATTAATAAAGTTGAGAAACATTACTTTGAATGCTACATATTCTCTCAGTTAGGATGACGGTATTACATTAAACAAAACAACTTTAAACCCTTTTTTTATAAATTCTGAAAGTGCATTACAGGTGTAAATACAGCTAGGATAAACACTAAATATGAAAGTCAACTTTTCTGCTTCAGTCACCTACCTGCTGTGCGTAAAATGAGGCCACTTCTCTGCGCCCCTGCTTGTAGGCCTCGGCAGCCTTCGTGAAGCTCTCGAGCTGTCGACTTCTCTGAAGGCTGGCCTCGGCCCTGAAGTCTTCATACTCGGGGTCCTCTCTGTCTTGGTAGTTTGGTACAGCTGATTCCATGGGCTTCTGCCTCTGACAAATGAAAAATAAAAAAAAAAACAGTGATAAAAACAGGTCATTAAGGGTGAGGAAAGACGATCACTTATACTTTGTAATATAATCTCTTCAGCTGCATGAGGCAGTTATGTTTCCTTCAATTACTGTTATTAATTTAAACTCATACAGAAGCCTTTAACCAGTAAAATATCATCTGAGATTTGAATGATGGCTTAAGTGTTTGTCTTATACTATGTGAATTAAATATACAAAAATCTTTAAACATTGTGGTACATTGTTGCATCATGGTTGTCTAAACTTTTGTGAAACTGAAGCAAGGCAGATTAGTATCTAATGAATTATTGCTTTTAAATGTCATGTTAAAATGCCGCAGGGAAATTCAAAGTGATTCCATTATCAACAAATTAGATGGCAAATACGAGATAAAATGTGGAAAAAAAATATTAGATTACATTACACAGATACATTAGTTCTGACCCACTGCTTGTTTCTTTCTCATTCTGTATTTTTTTGTACCTTTTCCCTCTCCTTGCTGGCTGCTCTGTGGTGGTCAGCCCGAGGAGCTTCTGGGGCAACTACCGTCTTCACAGGTTCCTCGTCGAGTAAAGAGCGTAGAAACAGCTCTGTCTGGGTCAGGCTGTAACTGTGCAAAGATAAACATACACATGAATTCACCAGGATAATAGAACACTGTTATAACATCTGTACATTTTAGGAAAAAAATGAATGATTCCACAGCTTTACAGAGCATGTTTGTATTATCAGTCTTAGATCAAGGTTCTTGATGTGTCTCACAAACAAAGTGAATACAATCTCTAAGTAGTTTTCTTACTTGTGGTCTCTGAAGATGTCCTGGAGAAAATGCCTGTCAATGGCAGGGAACAGGGAGTACAGCTGGTTCTCTTTCAACAACGTGGCTCCATCACGTCGGTCAAGTTCTCCACGACTTTGTCTGGTCTGAAGGAGAAAGGGGTTGGACAGATGATAGAATGAGGGGAACAGAAAAGAACATAATGTTGTATGTGCAGAAAATACAAATAAAATCAGCAGGTACAGCAGGCAAGTGCTACCTTCTTTACGTTCTCCTGCAAAGCCTGTTCCTCTTTTATAATATCTCGAAGAGACACATGTGGACGGGACGCATTCCAGTGGTCCATGAGCGGCATCCAGCCAAAGGCGTCTGGCTGGTTGTCCAGTGACATATAACCATCCGTGTTCATCAGAAAATTGGCTGGCAGTGTCCGGTCTTGTGCTCCAGGTTTGTCCACCTGTGAGTCACCCCAGTGTGTCGAACCTGATTATTCAAAGATCGACATTTAGCAGCTGCGTAACAAAGTGGTGTTAAGACATGCGCTTTAATGTATACTCCTAAATGTGCTTGTACTATCTGTTACTGTATATGCACTGACAAACGTGTGTGTATGTGTACACTGTATGTAAAACAGCATTGATCATATGATGAGTAAATATATACTGTTGCGATCTTTTCATGATGCATCATGGATTTCATTTGGCATTGTGATTGCGTGTGTCAACTCACTTTCCTGCAGTAGGTGAAAGGAAAGAGTTGCTTGTCTTTGCTTTTCCTAAAAAAAAAACAAAAAAAACAAATACAAAAACAAATACCCTCTTAGGCTCACGTACAGTGGATCTAAGTACATTTATAACTGGATAATACTGATGTTGGTAAAGTATTGCCTCACCTGGATGGTTTCCTTCCATTTCTGGTGGAGCAGTTTAGCCAGGTTCAGGTCCATATGCACTGTGTAGTCATCGGCTGAGCAGGTACCTGAATATTTTGAGCCAGACAGGACAGAGGCGATGATGTGAGTTCTGGGTGGCAGAAAAGTATACCTTTTTGTGGGGGGGGTTCAGCAATTCAATGAAGCCCCCTCCTCTTAGACGGCAGAACCAGTGAGCTATGTGCAACATTCTTTTGAATCACACACACATTACACAGCAACTAGCCAGGTGTGTGGAGCTGTGATGGAGACTGATCATTTCTGGTGTTTGCAGTTCAGTTCAACAAGCATGAAAGCCTTCTAAGACACTTTTCTAAACAGCGTGCAGTTTTCTGCATCGGTAAAAATAACTATCTCGCCTCTTTCCGTGACAGCTGGCTCTTCACCCTGCCTCCCAGCATGACCTATCAGATCACGTATAACCACAGCATGTCATACAACTATGTCAAAGAAAAACCCTTTTTCAGTGTGAAATCTGTGTGTCAGTTACCTGGGTCTATTCCAACAGGACCGAACAGTTCAGTGAGCTGTAATGCCAGCTCAGTGGGTAGTTTCAGCTCCACACTCTGAATACTCAGATGTTGACTTCTTCTCTCCTCTTTCCTCTTATTTTTCTTTCTCTCCAATTCTTCCAGCTCAGCCAGCAGCAGGCGGTTGACCTCATCCAAGCTGGCAATGTCGTCCTCAGTCTCAATTCTTGACTCTTCAATTATGACTCCATTATCCAAGCTCCCACCCCAAGCTCCACCTTCAAGGTCAAGCTCAGATATCACTCTGTGTTCGGTGTTGTCAGATTGCTCTCCTTCCTTTACTGCTTTAGGCAAGTTAGGTTCTGCTTGTGGATATGTTTCTAAGTCTGAGGTTGTATCAGGATGATCTGTGTTTGTAACTGAAATAGCTACACCTCCAAAACTAGACACATCAATATTACTGGTGCTCTCATTAGACGCTGTAGCTGTCTCACAGGTGGACGGCTGGGTTTCCTCCTCATTCACAGTTGTCTCTCTCATTGGCCAGTCTTCAGGATGATGCTGATCGAATACAATAGGACATGAACTGGTTTCTGCAGCCTTGGATAAAGCTGCACGAAGACTGGATGCGTCGTGGTCATCTTCATCAACTACACCATCCTCCTCCCCTTCACCATCCTCATCTCGAAAGAACCTCTCTCCAGAGTCCAGCAGCAGGTTGGTGGTCCACTCTAAGTCCTGATGACATTTGTCATACAGGTCTTCTAATGTGTCAAAACTCACTAGTTTAAAATGGCGACTGAGAATGCGCAGGCTCTCAAGCCGGTCTTGAGTTACTCCAAGCTCTCTCTCCTCCACCTGTGTGCCTTTCTCATGCACCACACGGTAGGGTACCTCTCTGTGGCCAGACGGGTGAACTGCAACTGCTGCAGAAACAGCAGAGGAGCGCTCCGGCACAAAACGAGAAGAGTCGCCTGATGCGACCTTGATGCTGCTGGAGTGGCTGCCTGCACTGACAACCGCATCATCGGGGCTGTCTGTCCGATTGAGACGCCAAAGAAAGGCAAAGTCTTGAGGTTCTGTCTGAGTGAAGCAACCTGTGTCCACTAGAGGAAGAGGGGAAGCCTCCTGCGGGTGTGTCTCAGATTTGGACTCAAAGTTTGGCTTGAGGTCAAGACTAGTGTTAGGATTAAAGTAGTGTTTGACATCTGAGTTGATGCTAATCTGACTACTGTCTTGAGCTGTGGTATTGGAACTGTCCAGAGTGTTCAATAAGGAATCAGGGCAGTTTTGAGTGAAAGTGAGGGCTAGCTTGCACTGCTTCCCTGATCTTCGACCCTGACGCTGCTTCTTCTCCTGACTAAAGGGACTACTTTCTGTTTCCACAGAGCCCTCACACACAGTACTCTGACCCGTGTCACTAATATGGCTGCCATCAGTCTCAGTTTTAGTTTCTCTGCCATTCTCTGTGCAGCTGTCCACATTTGTTCCACCTTCACCTTCAATACTGGGGGGTATGTCCATAGTCCTCTCAAAAAGAGCTGGAAAAGGATTTTCTGCATTGGGTGTTTGCAAATCCACAGATTCTTTATCAATCTCTGGGACAGTAACATTCCTTTCTGTGAGAGTACTTGCTTCATTTTCAATTCTAAGTCCTTCCCAATCATCAATTCTTAGTTCTCTGACAACACAAGGGTCAGCTGCCTTCCAGTCTAACACACAGTCAGGTAATTCCCCTCTGCTGATGTTATTCCTGTTATTGTTTAGTTTTCTCTCCTCCCTGTTAGATCTACCGCCATGGGATTCCTCAAGCCAGCCACCTGCCTCATCCTCTTTCTCCAATTCCTCTCCAGAACTTGGTGAAATGGAGCATGAGCGGGAAGAGCTGGTCTCAGTTGCGACTACACCAGTCTGGATAAGATCAAGAAGCTTCTGAAACTCGGTTATACCAGGGCCCGAGTGTGTGCTCACTGTTTTATGTTTATGGTTGTTGTCGTCTTGAGATGCATCTTCATCTTTACTCCCATGTACTTCGTTTTGGGTTTCTCGTTTTCTCACCTGTCGTTGTTCAAGAGACCCTTCAGAAGGCCAGTCTCCCACAAAATTCAACATCTCATGCATTCTCTTCTCACTCATGTGTGTTACTAACTCAGGCCCTTCTGGTTCCTCTTCCTTTGTCCTTTCTTTCTCCTTTGCCTCGTTGTCTGCCTGGTTAGTATCTTTTACAAGGTCTGCAGGCTCCATGTTGTCAAAACACGACCTCCTGCTTGGCCGTTCTCTCCTCACTCTCTGTCCAATAGATTCAGAGAAAGCAACAGGCATTTCAGCTCCCCATGAATCTTCATTCATCACTGATTCCACAATGCAGTCCGGGATTTTCTGGTCTCCATTTGGATGAGTCAGGTGGTTCAACTGGTCGTCCAGCTCAGAATCTAAGTCCCCTAAATCAAAGTTGTCCCCATTAGAAATTTCAGGGTTGTCCGTACATTTGTCACTGAGTTGGACATTAAGCGATTCGGTGGATTTGTGGATGCCATCCTCCAGCATTTCTACCTCTCCAGAGCGACCAACAGATGATACATCTGGGAGGGAGGAAAACAGCTGAGGACGAGACTTTTTGAATCCGTCGCTCAATCCAGGCTGATCTACGAGGTCGGGACAAGGTGTTTCAGGCGACAGTAGTCTAAAAAAAAGAGAGAGAGAGGTGCTAATGGTACAGTAAATATAACTGATTTGAGCAATATAGCAACAACTGACTTCACCCAATGATATAGATGATTCCTGATCACCAGATGTGCATGAAGTTATGTTTTCATTTATTTTAGGCACAACAGGGTATGTTCTTTTACACCATGAAATATTTAACTGTGCATTTATTTTTTTTTTAAAAAGTAGAATTAGTCCTGTTAGTATGTATATAAAAAACAGTTTTCACTTGAGGGAACCTAGTGATAGAAAAGTAAGACAAATCATTTGAGTAAATGCCAAATTAAATGTTATGTTCTGGAAATTTGTACTTCTGTTTCTGTGATTGCAGTCACTTAGAAATGAGCCTGAGACTTTCTACACATCTGCAACTACATCAAGTTAGAGTTAATGTTACAGGATGATCGACATCCAGGTTGTCACTGTAAAAAAATCTAAAACTATTACACACTTTGCATAAAAGTTTCAGTGAACTATCAGTTCACAGTGAAAATCTCAATATTGTGAATCCCTAGTTGACAGAAATAATAATTCAAATTCAATTCCACTGCATTCAATCTGTAAATAATTGTATTATTTATGAATGTCATAACTTCCTGGTTTATCAAGACAAACTTAGATTGCAGCTCAGTGAGTTTTTTGAGATTCTATATTGACAGCATCTAAAAATCTCTCATGCAGAAAGTGATTCCAGTAAGTTCATCAGATCATCTACTGTTTAAATCAACTTGACTTCAAGCATATTCACATGGACTCTTAAATTAGATGCTCTTCTTTAAATGTTTGTTTATAACCAAGTTATCTTCATCCATTTGATACAAACACGATGTCAGTTCAATGAGACAAACTTTTAGAGTGAAACTCACTGTGAGTCTTTGTTCTCCAGGAGGAGCCGCTGTTTCCGCTCAGGCATCCGTGAGCCCATAATGGACTGGATTGTGACGAAGCGGTCATATCCATTCAGCATGCGGCGGATTGTTTCCACTGGTACATTATGTGTTGTCCGTCTGAGCATGGACATACGGATAAACACAGATAGACAGAATTGAAATATATAAAACTGTCTTCAACAGCATTGGGCTCTTTAACAGTAAAAAAAAAAAAATCCTTCAGATTATATTCCACATTAATCCTCTGAAACCCAAAACCCTCTGTTTGGTTTGTAAGGTATTTACAAAATTGCCAAAATGAAACCAGAAACTGTTAAGAGAGATTCATCAGATTTGGACTTTCCGACAATCCTTGAACTACTAATCTGTGACATGCTCTTTGATTGGTGAAACTTAACCAAATTTAAGCTTAAAATTGTGATATTTAATCAAAATCACTGTATTCCACATGTTTCACTGAAAAATTTGCCAGCAATAAAACATCTGCTCTAACCAGAGTAGAAAAAGCAAAAAAAATTATGTGCTTGTTGGTGCAACCGCGTAGCCATGACATGATTCCAAGTCCTTTAAAAAAAAGAATGCATTCTACTGGGCATTATACCCTTGTGCTGTTTCTATGGAGGTGCACAACTTGCATTGAAAAATGGGCCCACTGTGAGTGAAAATGTAACTGGAGCAGAAAAGACCCAAAACCTGTTTGGGGTTCAGAGGGTTAAAACCAGACACTGCTGTAATTCCTCTGTTGTCCCACCTCTCCAGCTCTCTGGGTTTGTTCTTCCACCAAGTGTCCGGCTCTCTGAACAGCACCTTATATCCATGTTTTAGTGCCTAGGACAGATGCGTAACCAATCATTTTTTGAGACAAAAAACAAGTTTATGTTTACTATAGCATTTCTACTCACTTGTTGTAACAGCTATACCTCAAATGCTATGTTTTCCCTCATTTGTGTTGTTTTAGAAACTATGCTCTTCTCTAAACCACACATTGTATGCTGAAACTGCACTACACATGTGAAATTACAGATATTAGGAAAAGTGTACTCTAAGAGGATTAGCACATTTACAGCATTTTCTTGGTATTTACAAAGGATAATATGAAAAGCAGCAATTACTGCAGATACAGAACTAATTAGCCACTTAAGCTCTATTACCAAGCTTCATGTATTCTTGCAATGCTGACTGACCTGAGCTACATAGGGTCTCATCTCCCAGACCTGCATGTTGGTATTGTCAATGATGATAGGTTTAGTTCCCCTCTCAAAAGCCTCTCTGGCTGTTGCATAAAGTTGAAATAGGACAGACAACACAAGAGAAATAATGCATTTGTTGCTTTAGTGCAACTTGGGTCAAAACACAGAGCACTTAAAAAATAAAACAATGGCAATCAGTCACACAGATTTATTTTTTTAAAATGCTTTGAAAGGTCACACAGGCCTGTTCACTTGCAACTGCTCTGCAGTCATATCACAACTGTACGTTTGTGTTTTGTTTACCTCGTTTATGGTTCCACTCATGGGCCTCCCCCAAGGTAGTGGGGTCAAACTGGTAGGTTCCATTACGGTAGTAATAGTCGTCAGTGCAGAGTATGACTCCGCCTGGGTTCTGCTCCAACAAGGCTCTGCAGAGACACACGTGAAGATGGCTTTCAAGTGATGTAACTCTGTTTGTGATTGCTGTAGCAGACATCAATGACTCTTATGCAACTGTGGCTGTTAATATGACTCTGCTATCTTGATTGAACTCTGACTTTTGTAGTAAACTTTTGATTATTGATTTAACCAGAGACACATCTAATCTTTTTAATATTTAGGCAATGTGATCATGGTAGGTCTATATCAGTTTTGAAAAAAATCCTGCCCTGTATTTAAAATATTCTAATTTGTAGTTTCAACATTACTACAGGTTACCAGGCTGCTGAAAGGTATGTGAGTGAGAAACAATATGCTCTTTTCATGCTTCAACAACCAAAGGGAACAGGTTAAAGTCTTGAAAGGTTTGTTTTGTTAAAATTGTTTGTGATTTCTTAGTTTATTGCAAACATATATCCTTCTGTTTGACTATTAAGGTATTTATGATATTTCTCAATCAACAGAGATGGAAACATCTTTTTTCTAATTTGGAAGTTTTGTACACAGGTCACCAAACCTTAATAAATAGCACTTTTAAAACAGTTCTTTTCAGAGAAAAGCAAAGGGAACAAGGGAGCTACCAGAGAGAGAGTATGTGTATAAAGAAAAGAGAAATTACTATGTAATGCTTTGTATGTAACAATGTGCAATTTTAAAATCAATCCTAAAAGTTCAATCCTTACAAGCCAAGAGAAAATGACAAAATAATCTTCACTTAATGTGTATTTGTGATTTCTTAGTTTATTGAAAAAAACAAACACAAAATAAACATTGGTGATAGTATATCTGTCAGACAAACTGCTACTTGCTGTTAAACTGTTGTTTGTTAGTCTGGCACATTTTGCATACAGACTGTCTCTACTCTGCTAACTGCAAAACTACATGACTGAATAACCTTTATTACTAGAGCACACAGCAGATCACTGTTCAGACTACTGCAACATTCTTACCTCGCCAAGGTTGACTTGCCAGATCCTGGAGCGCCACGAAGCAGCACAAGCAGCTTCCCTTCTAAACGAAGCCTGTTGCACCGAGCAGAGACCTGTAGAGCAGCAGGTACGGCCCAGGATTTTGGAATAGTAGCCGAAGGTTTGAGAGGTGCCTGACTGACAGAGGCCTGACTCAGCCAGGGAGAGGCATGTCTGGGCTGGCTGGGCCAGTTGGAGGGCGACTGAGCCACAGGAGTAATGAAGGCTGGGCCCTGGTTTGAATGGACACGAGGCAAAAAAACTGGGGCCTCTGGGTTCCAAGGGGAGCCCAGCAGCTCCCGATTCAGCATGTTCACTTTAGATCTTGCTCCACCAACTATTGCATCAGAGTGCATGAGCCCAGAGGGAGGGTCTTGCTTTTTATATACCTGAAAAGCTGAAGGCCGCCCTGAAGCTGCCAGGTCCAGGGAAGGTTTGGGCTTGTCTGCAGATGTTTCTGTTATTAGGTGTGTGAAATCCATGACAGATTGCTGCCCCTCAACAATGTCGCCTTCCCACGTGCTGAGCTGGTTGAGGGGAGAGGAAGCTCCAGACAAGCCTCCCACTGGGCCCGGCTGCTTGGCAGAGGGCCCTCTGAATCCAGGCTCCAGGCTGGACTGAAGCAGCTCAGGGAGGGCCTGCTGAGGGACAGGTGGTGGAGGGAAAGAGGAAAGGGATGCATCAGCAGATAAATACTTGCTGTTGTGGTGCTCCTCCTTTAGATCTTGCAGTGCGGTTAGTGTCTGTAGCTCCTGATCAACAAGCAGGTCCAGCTCTTCTGTCATGAGGTTTGTGGAGGGAGGAGATGAAGGCTGCTGCAATGGTTTGGAGGAGTCTGGGTCCGCTGCTGGTTTAGAAAAGTGACTCGGACTGAGCAGGGCTGCAGCAGTGCGCTCAAAGCCAGAAACAGGAGGAGGGATCGGGGCTGCATCTTCTGCTGCCACGGAGAGCTCCAGGAGAGAGTCCATCGCATTTTCAACTGTAACCAGACACCAAGAAAGAGACATGGGTGAAAAACGTTGCTCTCTATAACCTTCATAACTCAAGCTTTAAAGTCTCAGCGCTTGATGGCCATTTAAACACCGTTTAGAGGAATTTACGTTGACGAATTCAAATCCAACTATGTAAAAACTAAGAAGTTAGAACAATAAAAGAAAACTGAATCAAACGAGTCTTATTAGCACAACAGGCATCGCAATTCAATTTCAGGATAACTTGTTCCAATATAAGCAAGCATACAGGATCTGTCACTCATCTATACTGAAGATGTCTAGTTTAGCATTTTCATAGCACTAAACAGGTGCAACAGGTGGAAGAGGGTGCCCGGGTGTGTACACAAAAAACATGCAAAGGTGCAGCTTTAAATCACACCGTCATTACCACGTATGGAGTTCTAATGGGGACATTCAGTGTACAGTAAGCTCGTACAGTAAACCGCCTCTGCCCTGTCAGAAACACACGACAACAAGCTACACAGCTAACTAGTTAGCCAAGTTACAAGGAATACTTTTCCCAGGAGTCACACAGCAGGTTTGACAGCTGCCTTCCGTGTGTCGTAGTCACCTTTAAAGTCGCACTCGGAGAGCACGATGTAAATAACTTCGGGGTCCAGGTGTGAGAACATCTCCTGCATGCTTTTGACCATCTTCTCCTTGTCGGCGCCGGACACGGACGCGCTGGCTGGAAAGTTGCTCGCCATTGCCCTCTCGTTCAGCTGAGGTAGTGGGTAACCCGAGTTGTGACCGAGGTTCCCCCCTTCTGGCGGCCCGCCGGGGAGCCTCGCTGGGCTCTGGTCGTTTTTCTTTCTCCGAGGCATTCCGAGGCCGAGAAGCAACCGCCGTGTGCGCTCATTAGCGGCTAACGGAGCTAAGTGAGTAGCCGCGGAGCTACAGGAGGGTGGCCCGCAGCCGAAGACATACTACTGTATTACCGGAGTAACCAAAGTGCAACAACTCAAGGTTATGGTATCTAACAGCACTCCAAGTGGTGGAAACCGACACTGTACGACTGGAAGTACATCAGAAAACACAAACGTTGGCCAGGTCCGTCAGACAGGGTGACGTCGGAAATCAACAGCAGTCTCTTCAAAATAAAAGTTTGCCATGGCATCTGTAAATAAAGTATAAACTGCTGTGGCATAAACACAGATTCTAAACGTCCAATGTTGGGTTTTTTTTCATGCTTTAAAATTTTATTTAATTTTTATTTTATTTTAGCAAATTAATGAATGCCTCACATGTCCCAAATTTTATTTATTTGTTTATTTATTTGTTTGTTTAATTTTAAGGTCAAAGTACCAAAAGCTGGTTCAGTTCATCATGACTGTATGAACCCCTTCAGGAAGAACACTCTCTCTGCATCTGTGACTGACAGGCCATCAGCAATTTCTTAGCTTAATAGTCATTGCTGGTTATTCTGTGCTTGAATTCATCATATGTTTTTAATGGTAAGTGCTGTTGGGTGGCCACAGCATCATCACTCTCTCTGAACCGCTACTAGATCGATTTGATTCATGCTCAACCTCTTTGGCTGCAGCCTCAAGCCATAAGTGGTAGTTATCTTGACCACTTGAGGAGTGGCAGAAGTAAATGTCTTCATATCTCAACAGCTTTTGGGTTACACCTCCAACTTTATAACAGCCACAAACACAATAAAAATAGATTTTCACCATACGATACCTTTAAAGTAGCAAAAAAATAAATGAATAAAAACAACACAGTGGCTATAATAATAGTAAACACTATTTGCATAGGTCTTGACAAACTTACAAAGTGCTTCACAGAAACAAGACAAAAATATGTATTGAAAAAATTGGTAAAATAAAGCAAAATATACTGGAAAAATAGAAGCAATGTGTTCATCATAGCCTGAATATAGGCTATAGCACTGTAGTAGTAAGTTTAATATAATTTGATTCATAAAGATGGTCACTTACTATTAGAATGATGCAGTGGAGCACTTACAGATGAATGAGAAGTCTTATAGGAGTTTATCCTTTTCAGACAGTCTTATAGGATTCCCATAAATTTCTCCACATACAAGACAATCTCTCCACTTCATAGGTTACATATTTGGTAACACATTTCATGGTCATATTGGGAATGTACTTTTTTCTATTCGAATTGGGGCCTTGGACCTGCTGTGTGTGGACACCAGGATGAATATTACTTAATTATTTTTTCTCGTACTTTCTATATTTTTGGATGCTGCTGTGGCGTGTAAATTTCCCAGGTATGAGATAAATGAAGTATATTCTATTCTATTCTATTCTATTCTATTCTATTCTATTCTATACTGTGGTAAACAATAAAATTTGTTTTTACAATGTTAGCAGTTTATTTTATCACACCAATGCAGCCATTTTAGCTCAGTAGTGTGACTGCTGTGCATGTGCCCTTTTCTATAATTTACAGTTGTTGAACTGTTTCAAGAAACACAATCTGTTTTCTTGTATAACAACATTTGTATTAGTATTAAATAAATGGACTGATTACATATAGAAACTGGCCCATTTTGCAGGAAAATACTAACCTAACTTTATTATCAAAAATGTATTTAATTGACATGATGAATATTAAATCATATGAAATGGTACGATTTAAAACTTCACCCACTTCAACAGTATTGAAATAGGTAGTTTTCAATTGATAATTATCAGTTGACCCCTAGATGTCAGTATTTCACATTTCATTATTATTGACTGAGAAGTTAACGTTTGAATTTCTTATTGCTACTAGTTAAGTAGTTAAAGTTGGAGTATAGATAGTAGTGATGATAAAAAATAAATTGCTAGAGGAAATACGTATTGACAGACGATCACATTAATCATTTAGCATATGGAATAGTATTAGCAATGCATTAACAAGTAAGTAGGGATTTAATCAACAATAATTTGATCTATGAAGCTGCTAACGTACCATCAGATAAATGCTGCAGAGCAAATAAAAAATAACTAAAGCACGTATACCTGAAAAATGCACTCAAATACATTGCTTCAACAAATGTATTTGATTAGTTCTTTGCCTTAAGGTTTTCACCATACATATAAATCTGTAAGCTATTGTGACATTTGTCATTTGGAAAATGTTGTGATGAAGACTGAGTTATCCACTCCTAAAGATAAATAGATTTTCTTGTATAATGACACCCATATGAATAGTAAATATATGTACTAACTGCATTTGAAAAACAGTCATGGCCCTGTTATGATAAATGCATGCAGTCAAGTGAATATTACATTAAGTCAAACGGTACTTAAATACTAAAATACTCGTTAGGCAGAGGCTTTGAAGAAAATCAGAGTCCTCCAAGCATTTGGTCTGCACAATCTTCAATGGGTAAAGTTTTCGAATGCTAATAACCAGTTGATCCCTTGGTGGCAGCATTTCACAGTTAATTACTTCTATTTTGAAGTTAATGTCTAAATTTATTGCCACTTGTGTAGTATTGGTAGTAGTAATAATAGCAGTGAGGGCAAAAAGGAACTGTTGGCAGAGATAAGCGTTAATAGACGATCACGTCAGTCCTTTAAAATATAGCAACAACTACTATAATTAGAATTAGGGTTGTCGACGATTATTAGCATATTCTCTCTCTCTCGCTCTCTCTCTCTCTCTCTCTCTCTATATATATATATATATGAAACAAAAACAGAGGGGAAAAAAATCCTTGTACAATACATAATGTCATAATACATGTTGCTGTGTAATCAAACACGGCGATTACATTTAATTGGCCCAAAAATGTAGTCAAATGCGAACAGCACTTCGCCTGAACCCACTATGGACTGAAGAACAGAAAGTGAAGTGTGTGTGGGAGCTGTTTGTTTCCGACTCCCGCCATGTATTTGGGGCTGCAGTACTGCGGTGGGACCGAGGGAGGCGCTCTGCCCTCAGCCTTCACACAGACAGCACTGACTGAACGGACAGAAGCTTTGTGCCGAAAACTAAGCCCAACCTGTGTCAGACTAATGAATTAAAACGGCCCATTTGAGAGGTAAATACTAACGAGGAAGCGCTTGGCAAATATCCTGGGGTTGAAGTCGTACTTGTATTTTTGAAAATAGATTCATTTTGCATTTGTTAGGGTGCTCAAAATCATCCGTGGGGCAAGTTGGTGGTGAGAGAGGAGGGCTCAAGGCGACGGTAGCAGCCCTTCTTCGCCTGTGAACTAGCGGCAGTACGGAGCGATGCTTGGAAGTTGAAAAAAGACAGTAACAAGTAAATTAGCTTCATTTTTAAACTTCACAAAGTAGTTGCAGTAGTTGGAAACCACAGGAACTGACCACGACCATGGCTATTTTGGGCAAAGATGATAGGATACTTCACTTCCTCTGTGATTGTCTGTAGCTGGAGATGTGATGGATACCTGAATAGTTTGCGGCCTAGGCTAGCAAAGTAGGCTAACGAGTTAGCGCGGCTAACGTGTATTAGCCGCTCGCTGCTAACAGCACTTCCCGCAAAATGCTAGCTGCTAGCCAATGATGTTTGCACTGCAAGTAGCTAGCTAGCTAATTTGATAACCTGTGTGACAGTAGAGATTCACCGGCTGCTCTCGTGTTGTTTATAAAGTGGTTTTCCAACAACTTAGCGGTTCAAATTGCTGTGATGTTACCGAAAGAGCAGTTGAGTTCGTTTCTGTATCTAAACGGTGTATTATGAGAAATTTACGGAAAATGTAGAGCTGATGTTTAGCTGGGGTAATTTAGCATGTAAGCTAATAATATGCACGATGCTGGTTTAATGTTTGCTTTCTGTGTGGAAAATTTACTGGATTAGAATATCGTTAAATATACAGGTGCTGCTTTATCAATTTTAGTGGACAGAATTAGTGATTTGCAAATGAGAATGATGCTTAAAACGAGGTTTTGCTAAGTGCGGTAGCATGGTTGTGTTGAACTTTTGTTTTCTGACCCATAGAGGCCAGTAGAAGACCGTGTGGACCAGACATCAACAAGCATGGAGTTCCCGCAACAGCAGAAACCGGCGGGGGACGGAAAGATCATCTATCCTCCTGGAGTGAAAGAGATTACGGACAAAATCAGCAACGATGAGGTGGTCAAACGATTGAAGGTATGTTAATGGGACTCCCTTCTGTCAAAACACATTTGCTGCAAACCCTATCCTCATTATAAAGCATCTAGGTCCTGGCACTAAGCCAAAATCCTTATAACTTTGTAAACTGCTGTATGTTTTAGTGGCCCTTCGTCTTTTATGGCAGAATGGTTTCCCAATCCTCACAACACTCCCTAAACAACACTTATAACCATATTGTTACTACCAGGGTATTGTGATGTTCTGAAACTTGAGAGAAGCATGATACAAAACAGGACACATTATTGTTCTTAAGACTCCAGCTTTTCTAGTCCTTCCACTTATTCCCTTGTGGCTGGAAAAATGGGATGATCCCAAAATGTGAACACAAGAAAAGCAAACATTACACACTGGAGCTATTTTTACTACAAGGGATCAAACAGTGACTCACATTTAAGGGAGACTAAGGAAAGCAGCTGTAGTAATGAAACTGATTATAAGCAAGATTCTGCTGACTTATTCAAATAAAATTAAAACTTAAGGAGTCACAGAAGGGCTGAATGTAGGATCCCAAATTGTTCAGTATTAAAACAATTGATGATATGTGAGGGCTCCAAGCTAACTTGGAAAAACAAACTGATGATATGCTAGGAGTACAAATAACCAATTGTCTGTCAGTTTCGCTATTTTGGTGCTGCTGTAGTCCATTTTCATTTAGTTGTTTAAGTTTTTGTTGTACATATTTGATGAGTGTTGCCTTGTGTGATGCTTAATAGCAGAACACACTTAATTGAGTTCAATATTACATATCAGATTTTTCATACATCTGGGAATAGGAATATATATATATATATACTTGAAATGTAAAAATAATCTGCAGCAATATTGTGATTTTTGAGTTCAACCATATCACACACACTTTCTTTAACCCTGCAGTAGCTGATTTTTTTCTGACCACTTGGGAACAGAGGAAACAAGTTATTAACACAGCATTGACATCACATTGAAGTCG